GTACAAATGGTCCTGGATGCTGGTGATTAACAATTTGAACATGTTTTCCATTGAGAGATTATTTGCCCACGTCTACTGTGCTATAAAACACCAAAATCTCTGAATTACTAGGTTTTGGAGCTTTCCCATCATCCAGCATTCCAGAAAACAGAAAACACGATGTTTCGGAAACTCACTGTTTCCGTCTTCAGGTGAGTGAGGGAAGACATCTACTCGGTTGGGCCCCTTAGAAAGAGCCAATACAGTGATTTAGATTAGCTCCTTCTATGGGGCCCAACTGAGTAGATGTCTCCCCCCTTCACATGAGGACAGAAACAGATGCGGTTTACGAAACGTCATGTTTTCTATTTTCTAATATATCAGACGATGAAAAAAGTCCAAAACCCTGTAATTCTGTGTGTTATACACCAGCGTCAGAACCCTTCTGGATCTACCAAAATCACTCCCATATATCAAATTTGCAAATCTCAAGCGAATAAACTGCTTATGAGAGATTTTTTGAACGTACTGCAGTCAAGTTACATCTCTGGCCTTCACATGAATTCATCCTCCAAACAGAAAGTTACGGTTTCAAAATTAATTATGAAACCCATGCCATGCCAACTATCTTTCCCATGCAAATCACTTCAAGCATAAAACAGGACTTTGTGTAACACAAACACAAAAGAAATTAACACTTTAAACTCTTTCCTTGCATACATGGTATAAGTGAAGGGAGTGTCTACTTTTCATTATCACAAATTTCTCAAATACTGTTAACCCTAACATTCCAAGTAGATTCTAAAGGGTTCTGACAATGGTGTATATAACACTCAGAATTAATGAGTTTTTGGACTTTGTCCTGCATCATTTATTCTGAAACCAGAAAACATAATGTTTCAGAAACAGATCCAGTTTCCAAAACACTGTCTCTAGAATATTGGATGAGGGACAAGTCCAAAAACCCAGTAATTCCTAACATTTCAGTTCTCATGTCAGGGACAGTAAGCAGTTTAGGGACATTTGGTGCCTACCTTGATACATGGGACAACCATTTCTGCTTTTTATTACAACAAGTTTGTCTGAAATTACAAAATGAAATATTCAAATTTTACTGTGGGAACACACAGTATGCAGGACTTAGCGCACATTCGCGCATCTCCACAGAACTACGCTGTTTATGAATTCATTAGTTTTAATGTTCTGTTAGTGTGAGGACCAAAATGAAACAAATCAAATTCTGTATGGTGTTTTACAAAGTTGGACAGCAAAACAGAGGCAATCCATTCTAAAGTGTTACAATGACACTGCCTGCTATCCACTCTCCTGCCTCTGAAACCACAGTGGAGGGCAGGGTTTTATGTTGCTATTTACTTCTTTGTTACTGCCAATGTATAGTTACTGGCAAATTCTGCATATAAAAAATTGACTGTAAAAGCAGATTATTCATACAAGATAGCGCCAATATCATACTTTCTTCTAGTGATATATTTAACAGTAGTAACAATGAAACGAAAAAGATGAGAGAAGAATGCATAAAAATAACCACAATGATAGCATTAGCTTATGTAGGCAAGCACTGTCATGCTGAAAAATACAGTGTTTTAGAGAGGTCATCTTCCAGTTTTGTTAGATTACAGTGTCACCATTTATGATGGTGTAACATTATAGTCGTGGGTTTCTACACAGTGCACAGGGTTTTAAAATTATCAGCCCCTTGCATAGTTAATTGTAATATATTATCATCATGCAAGGCAGTAGTTCCAAATGTCTTGATACAGACTAGTGAATCAGTAGAAGGATTTTCTGAGAAACTGTATGGCATCTGTCTCACACTGTGAAGTACAATTCTAATTATTACCAGCACATCTAAACATAGTATATTTACATATTAAAAAGAGTATCTTTATGTAGCATAAAGAGATCTTATAATCACTTACAGTGAAGATCCAAATTAAAACTGTAAACAGGAGTATGAAAGAATATTAAGCTGTCATAAACTGCCCATCAGTGTGCAACAGGAAAAGGAGTAACGGTAACTGGCTTAACCTCCTGAAGCCTTCTTTTCCAAGGACAGTGCTGGGCCAAAGAACTCTATAGAAGATGGACACCATGATTATCAGAGGTGTAAACTGGGGAGGGGTTTTAGAATTCTTATTATTATACAGTAAAAATGTACTATGTTCAAGAGTTTCTAAATGCACCCAATTTATGACTGATTCTGCTATCTGCAGAACATATTCATAACTTGTGTCTTCAGTCTTGATCTGAAATCAAAGACGAGTGTGCCTCAATGTTGAGCATCACAGCGAGGTATAATCAACACTAGGCACACTGGGTTAAGCCCTATAGAGATGTCTGTGCAAAACAGCCACCCGCTAATAGAGATGAGCCGTCCTAGAGAAGCCGCCAATTGTGCAGCTACTCAAGAACTTCCCAGCATTTTATGGAACCTGAAGGTTCATTACCACGTTCACAAGAGCCCTCCACTGGTCCCTATACTCAGCCAGATCAAACCAATCCATATCACTTTATTCTGTCTCTCTAAGATCCATTTTAATATTGTCCACCCATCTATGCCTTGGTCTTCTCAGTGGCCTCCTTCCTTCGGGCTTTCCCACCAATATTCTATATGCAGTCCTCTTCCCCCCCCCCATTCGTGCTACATGCCCTGCCCATGTCTGTGCAAAGCAGTAGAACTAATTTCTTGCCCATTGAAAAAAATCTGCTAGCCATAATACATGTATGTGTGTGTGTGTGTGTGTGTGTGTGTGTGTGTGAGAGAGAGACATTCCAATAAGTGCAGCAATAAGACAACCTGTTCACACTCTGCCTGCTGGGATATAGGGAATTCATCTATATACTTGTTTTTCAAGTGCAGTATATGTCCTGTGTTTGGCGGCATAATAATGGCCTCCTTACTTTCAAGGACACAGACACTTCAGCCATTTATTTTCATTCATCAAACATTTTATAACAAGTTTCAAATCTTAAACACTTAGGGTGCTAAATATCAATACAATATGAAGAAGATAAAATAAATAAACCTAAAAGAATCCACTATATGTGTAGGGAATCAAAAAAACTCTGGAACACAAAACAAGGAAAGACATGCAATACAAACTTTACAAAAACAATGGCACTGCCATGCCTGACATATGACAATGAAACATAGACTCATAGAAGAACATATGAAAGACAACTGGAAGCTGTAGAAATGTAGTTCCTATCATATATAAGTATAGCAGGTTACAGACTTTATGGAACAAAATTAGGTCACAACTAGAAATGAGGAAGTCAGACAAACAAATACACACAAGGAAGATACGGTGGCTGTAACATGTACAGATGATGCCTTCAGAAAGAGCTCCCAAGCAACTTCTAAATCAACCAACAGGAAGATCCAGGATAGCCAAGAAGAATGTGGCTTGATGTTCAAGAATGGCACAGGCTAAGCAAAACTCTTGCACAGAGGATGATGATTTGTATTCATAAATATAATGTGTAGATTACAATTTCAGCATTACTGTTCAATAAAATGAACACAAAATGGTACATGCCACAGCCACTGTTCATTAAACAGATGTAGTGAACAGTTAACTTCAATAATTCCTAAGATAATTTTGTCAAGAAAAACGATAAAAGTAGTTGCATCTACAACTGTATTGCTTCTTACAGTTCTCTAATCTACACTTTTCTTAACCTATCTAATTACTGAGTTTAAATTTTCTAATCTTCTTTCTTTGTTTTCACTGTTATGACACTTACGCCTGAACTGTATTATGCAAGCAAATGGACCAATATTCAAAAGAAAAATGAAAACCTATACCATGGTCCCGACTTTCATACAGATATTCCTTATTTCTCTGATGACTGTGTTCCAAAGGAATATTGCAGAGGGTGAAATCGCATAAACTTAACAAGATCTATATTTACCTCGAGCTAATTTAACTATTTATCACAAAGGAGTTTATTATGCAGGTATAAAAATATTCAATAAATTGCTCACAGAGATCAAGAACACATCCAATAATTTTAAGAAGTTTAAGGTTGTATTAAGGCATCTCTTGAATACTCATGCGTTTTATACCGTGGATGAATATCTAAATACATGATCTTTATTATTGTTGTATTTATTATACTGTCTAGTTGTGTAATATTTATGTATGTATTCTGTGTTGTATGTTATTTTATGACATGTTTTATAACCATCTCTGGATCTCTTGAACTTGCAATAAATACAAATACAAAATCAACCCTTCTCCCCAAACCCACACATAACTTACCCCCCCCCCTTCTCAGCGCTTCACTCATTCACATTAGTGCAGCACTCTTAACTGAGCTCAGTCTTAGTTTTTGGCATTACAATGAAACTGACTTTCTTGAAGTCATGTATAACAGGCAGTACCTGTCCTTTACTCACTAGGGCAAGAACTGAAAGCCCATTTTTATTTATTTAGAGTGAGTGACCAAGAGTTCTACATACAGTGCGTAGGTGTGAAGTGTGTGCACTATTTCGTTCAGCTCCTTTGCCTAACTTTTACATGCATGTAACAATTCCATTGCTAGAATCTCTTCCAATTAACTGTCTTTCCAAATTCACACATGTTTGCTTTCAGAAGATTGCAAAACACTCGAAGAAAAAGATAATATAGGATATTTTAAGTATGTCAACATGACTTCCTCACCTACAAAGGCCTTCAAACTTAATTATGGTACAGTGTACTAAGCCTTGCAACTCAACTGTAATGTTTGGGGAATAAATGTTTATTATGCCAATTAAATTGTTCAGTCATGTTAGATAATGAAATCTCTGATGACGAATCTATAAATATCCAAGGCGTGGATCATTCTGTAAGAAATCTCAGCAAATACATCTATTATTACTGTGTCGTTCGCTAGCATAACTGAAGATGTAATGGCCAAATTTGGCAGCAAGAACCCCCGGCCTAGTTTCAAACATAAGATAATACTTAAATCAATAAGTATATTAAAAGAATTATATATTTTATGTAGCTCACCTATTCCTATTAAACCTGTGCAAGTATTTTACCACTATTTTCAAATTCACTAAATAAGACACTACCTCACAGCACTCCAACAACAAACTCCACCTAACCGACCAGACCAACGCACAACCATCTATCGTCTGCTACAAAACGAACGACTCCGCAGAACTAACTAGCTCTCGATGAAAGTGTATAATGAGGAACTTCCACTGTCCTAATATTCAAGAAACGACCCCCTTTTAATAATAGTAAGAACTACACACGTGTACCTCTGTCTATAGCTTTACGAGTTTTAAGATAACCTTCGCCTCCCGCGCATGAATATATATTCCTCAATGATGTCATCAGCCCGTTTGGCATGTGATGAATGAGCTCAAAAATGAAAGTGGGCGTGGTTAAGAGCCCAAATGAATTAGGCAATTGTTTCAGTAATCGTTCACTTCAAAGTATCAGGGCAAAACTTCAGTACATATACAAATTGTATAAAAATATATAACAATCGCTCGCCATGTAACTTCGAAAAATTACAAGAATATAACCAAGCACGAGAGCTACGTGAAACTGGGTCATGATACTGTGTCATTAGAGCTCAAAGCTAGAACAGTGAAGCTGAAGAAACGTGCGTTGCTTGGTAACGGCTCCTAAATATAACGCTGTCACTATGGCAACGGCTAACAGACACATCTACAAAACCCGGGCCGTTGCTAGGCAACTGCCGCAGGCGGTGTCTTTCTGCTAGATCTCCCTCAAAATTTACCTCCGATTAGCCTCTTGTCTACAAAAGGCAAGCTATTCGAGAAAGTTATTCTGAAAATAGTCCGAATGCACATTGACGAAAGAGGCCTGCTTAATTCAAGACAGGTCCAAGGAAACAGGGTGGGAATGAAATTAAATGGGACACATCAGTTGCTGGCCTATGCTGACGAAGTGAATCTATTGGAGATAACATAGTTACCATAAAGAAAACACAGTAACGTTAACTGACGCTAGCAAGGAGGTTGGTCTAGAAATAAACACAGTGAAAATGAAATATATATTGCTGTCTCGTCACCAGGATGCAGGTCAAAGTCATTGTATGAACCTAGCTATGAGATCCTTTGATAATGCTGCACAGTTCATACATTTCGGAACAACAGTAACATATCAACATTTGATTCAGGTGGAAATCAAGAGGAGACTGAATTCGGGTAATGATCGCTAACATTCAGTCCAGAACCGTTTGCCTCCTCGTCTGCTGTCTAGAAGCGTAAAAATTAGGATATACTCATCATGGAGCTGAGCCCTTCTTGAGGAGCCGCCAATTCTGCAGCTACTGAAGAATTTCTCAGCCTTTTATGAAACCCGAAGGTTCATCACCGTGTTCACAAGAGCCCTCCACTGGTCCTTATCCTGAGCCAGATCTTCATAACTTGTACCCTTCACCAAGTATAATTAGAATAATCAGGACAAGAAGGATGAGATGGGCAGGGCATGTAGCACGAAATGTTGAGACGAGGAATGTGTATAGGATATTGATGGGAGGGCCAGAAGGAAAGAGACCACTAGGACGACCAAGACGTAGGTGGGTGGATAATATTAAAATGGATCTCAGAGAGACAGAAGAGGGTGATACGGGCTATATTGATCTGGCTCAGGATAGAGACTACTGGAGGGCTCTTTTGAACACAGTATTGAATCTTCGGGTTCCATATAAAGTTATGAAGTTCTTGAGTAGCTGCACAACTCGCGGTGTCTCAGCTCCATGAAATCAGTTCTTTAGTTCGTATTCACTTAGCCGTGGCTCACATGTTGACCTCGGCACAGGGCACAGACCACGTATCTAAGATTACAGACATACTGACCCGTATTTACCCTTCTGACTCTTTGGGCAGGTATATTGATACACCTTAGTAGTAAACACCAATTGGGCAGGATGACAACATTATCATGTGTTATTTTGTTTCTAAGAGAGAAGGGTGTTTATGAAATATAGAAGGAAAAGCAATTTACTATAACTATTGTGTATGGAGATTTTACTAGTTTCGCCGTCTCTTATGCAGTGAGTTAATTATAAATACCGTAAGTTACTGTGTCGTTATTTCCTGTGCGTGCGACGAAGTTGGTATACCATGGCATGCGCTCTACGCCCTCTACCCTCCCTTCGCCGCACCTCGCGCTCAACGTGCTCTTTACTCTCTGGCCTCTCTACTATCATCTCCGCTCTCTACCGCTCTGTACGCTCTGTACTGCTCTGTGAGCTCTTCAGGGCAATGGTGTTGTGTTTGTGGAACGTGCGTGTTAGTTGGTGGAGTTGGTGGTGTCCAGTGATGAGCAGTTTAATTTGTAGTTGAGGTCTGTAGAATTTGAGAAGCAAGGTCTTTTACATAGCTGGATTAAGAAGATTTGCAAAAAGGGATCGCATATCATAAGTTTTGTGGATTAATGGCCCCAGGCAGTGCTTCTTGTATTGTGGAATTGAATATGGCTGAGAAAGGAGGTTCGGAGCATTTGCCCGGCTTCTGTGAGACTCAAGTTGCTCGGGCTTGCTTCAGATAGCAGAGACTGCAGAGACAGCGTCGCTGAGAATGAAAGAGGACAATTCAAGGAAGGGAAGCTAGACTTAGGAAGTTACGAACTCGAAAGGAAGCGATCAAAAAGCCACTCTAGAAAAGCTGTAATGGCGCGAATGAGCCGTCTTAAGAAGAAGTTCGTGGAATCTCTGGAGAGTGACGTAGCCCGACTGTCTGATGAAAACGCCAGACTTAAACAGAGTATCGAAGGTCAGTCTTCGGTTGTGTGTTCATTAAGAAAAGAAGTTAATTATTTGAAGAGGGTGTTAGCAAACAAGGAGATTAGTATGCTGATAAAGTCCATACACAATACAGGGCTCCAAGTAATCAAATGCAGTCAACTGCAGATCACAATTTTGTATGTACAGGAAGTGGCAGTAGTATTGCCTCAAGTTTTAATGGTTTGTTTGGTGAAGACAGTGCAACTCTTGCTTCAGATGATGAAAAACAACAGGTTGCTATTGTAGATCTATCCCTTTCTTTGTCAGTGCCTCCTGATGATACTTTAGATCTGCCACTTGTGACTCCCTCTGAGATAGATCCGTATGACACTGAATTTTCTGGTTGTTATTCGGTTGAGCCTACAACCATTAATTCACAAGTGGCTGGATGTGCAACAGGTGATGAGCTGTTCATGGATGCTGGTGTATGCTTGCATGTTTCCAAGAGGAGGTTATCATTGGAATTTTGTAGCAGTTACAGCAGCAATGCATTGTCAACATGAGAAGTCATGGATGCAATAAAGTAAAGGGAGTCATTTAGTGTAATTGTTAGAAATGGTCGGTGTGATGCCACCTTGGGTATGCATTAAATATGACTCCATGAAACATTATTTTTTTTAAGTTTATTTAAGATCAAGGTACTGTGAGTTTAAAATTATTTTTTCAGGCCTGTTGGAAGGCATTCATTTCCACCTTCCAAGTGAAGTATGCCTAAGGTGTGAAAATATATTTGTAAACATGTAATTTGATTGTACAGTAAGTCCAGAATGAGAACTATAGTTTGTCTGTAGCAGCATATAGTCAGATTTTTGCCTTTTGAACATAATTAACAAATGTAAACAATAATAAGTTTAATTGGCATCAGTAGTTATGTGTGAGATAAGTGAGTAGAGAAGTTAGGGGAACTTTATGACTTCTGAATCCTGTGTACCTAAAGAAAGAGATTGGTGCCTATTATTATTTCTTATGTATATTAGACTAGTTGAATTTTGTTGCTTTGTAATTGTGATTGATAAATAGAATCCTGTTACATAATGTACAGCTTTTATGTGTAATTGTATTCTGTTTCCAGTTGTGTTGTGGTGGGCTGTGAAACTACAAGACAAAATACCGAAGTACTGAAAATGTTAATGGTCAATACACTTTTAAACTTATAATGTGTGACTTATTAAGTTACACATGTAATTATTTCTGGAAGATTATTAATGCTATACAAAGCTAATATGTGTATTTTATAACAGGATTTAAATTGCAAGTAGATGGTCAGCATACAGAGATATTGATATCAGTCCTGTTTTTATGAGATGTTCTTAGGTTTTTGCCAATATTGCCTATCATTTCTTGCAGGTAGATCAGAGCAGGACAAGAAAACATATGAACTGATTGAATTTTATTAAAATTCCCCAGTTCTTTCACACAGTTATGTTTTCCACAGTGTAGCCAATGTCATGAATGAGCAGTGGACTTCAAATTTTTTGTGAATAGTACTACTGTAATTGAATTGCTTTAGCTGGCAGTGTTGGACATAATTGCATGAAGTAGTTTACATTAATGTTGAATCGTATTAATCAGAAATCTGATGTCTGTAGGTATGTCAGGTTTTCTTGGCAAACTTATATGGCTAGTGTTAAATCTGTTTTACAAAATTTGACTCATTTAATGAACCATATTATATCAGGCTTGTACTGTGTAAACATATAGAAGTGGTTTAATAGATTCATTTGTGAAGATAACGAATCATACTGGAACAAACTCTTGCATTTCAGCAGCTGCAACTTTGGAGTTCTCTGATTGGTATCATGTGTCCTAAGAGGGAGGTAACAGGCAGACAAGTGTAGCATGTAATGTGTGCTTCAGTGTTATTTTTTAACATTGTATCAAATGGGGAGTATAAATATTGTCTGTGTCTAGTTAATGTGCCATTTGGACTAAGATATCAGTAAATCTTATTCTAAGCCTATGTTGTGGATTAGCATTGTTTCATTCATTACTTCCTCAATATTTTATTTTTTCATTAAGTGAAACTTAAAATGTCCTGACACAGAAGAAAGGAAATGAGGTACACCTTTGTGTAATTTTAAAAGCTGTGTGTGCTATGGGCATACTAGCTAACCTTTAAATGATTTATGGGAGAGATTGCCCAAGACAGATGCGGTTTGAAAATGTATATAGTTTATTTTTTGGATGTACAAATCCACTCTGGATGAAGTATATAAAATATTTCATTAAACAGAATGGTAAACAGTTTTATGAGAATCTTTTGACAAGTAACATGAAACAGTTATGAAAATACAGACCCTGTTATATCAGGACAGTTTTAATATATTAATAAAACGCCAGGCCCAGGTGGAATGTTAAACTGTTAAACTTTCATGCACTGCCAATATTGCTTATCATTTCTTGCAGGTAGATCAGAACANAGGTACCTGAGGATTTAAGGGGTTATATTGAAGCCTAGTGCTGGTCTTAAATCTTTCTTCAGTGAGCACCTGGCATTTTTATTTGGCTTTTCCAGTAATGACTGCCTTTATTATTGTGTGAATGGATTTTCTGTGGTCAAATAGTAACATTCAGAAATTTATTCTGAACTCTTCTGTTGCATTAGGTAAACCAATGATAACTTTTATATCTGGGGTATTCATTTAATGCTTCCACTATAGCCTGTCATATTATTTTCTTTGAATTTCAGGACAAAATGTGCTTACAGTGGGTTGCAATGTAAAAGGGGTGAGAACTACCTCTGTACACAAAACAGCGAAGTTTAAGAAGTATCGTACTTTGTGTGGAGGTTTTACTATGCAAGTTATTTTGAAAAAAATCAGGTTTGTTATTGTATCAGCACACAACCCTGGGAGATCTGGAAGTGCAGTACATATGCTTTCACTATTAACCACTGTCTGTAGGAGTAGGGTGAGCAGTAGTAGTCAGTCTTGTCTTGTTGAGGAGGCGGCCTGATATAAAAAACATCATCTTGAAAAGAAGTATTTTCATGTGTCCTGATGGGGCTCAAAATCAATGATAACTGCTGACGTGGGCCAGCAGCAACTTGAGTTGGGTGAGAGTCATGAGACAGAAAAAACATGTTATGGGTACCTGCAGGGCCCAAAGCAAAGAATGACTGCTGTCAAAGACAAGCAGCAAATTAAAAAAAAGGCAAGTATCTCCCCCTTACCTGAATAAAAAAAATCAAAACTGAAAAGAGAAATTGCACTATGTTATGGCAATTACATGACAGGTTCAGGTTGGAAGAATATTTTTTGGCACAAACTCCCTTTGTTTACAAATGTGACTACTAAAAATCCAGAAACTTAAAATCTTGTTCCCCAGAAATATCACAATATCTTAAACTAAACTTACTTTTAAATGTACCCTAAAGAGGTTTATGATATATCATATGAACTCAGAAAAATCTAATTCATATTCTTGAAACATGTAATTCAGGCACCATGTTAAAGATAGTATAATACTGAGTACTGAAAAAAATGAAATTGCAACAAAAGATGGACAGAATTTGATACTTAAGTAGTAATGGGTGACCCAAGTAACTTCATCCTAACTACTGTACATATTCTGTGAGTTATAATTGCATCATTTTAAAGCCCAGACAGGTGAACCTCTACTTATGAACTATCAAGAAAGAGACAGTCTGTACTTATGAAAATTGCATGCATGGGCTAAAAAATTGCAATTTCCAGTGATTCACTTAATGTACATTTTAACAAATCTCACAATATATCCTAAGGAAAAAAATAAATTCAACTTAAAAACACATTTCTAAGAACATGTTACATTCGTAAGTTGGGGTTCACCTCTCCTTACTGTTGTTGCTACTGGTAAGTCCAATTAATCGGACTGTTGGTTTTTGTTATGTGTCAGTGATCACAATGGCTACACAAGTGGGAGAATGCTAACAATTTATATATAGTGTTGTAAGATTTCAAGTTCCCACAATACTCACTATTCAGATTGTCTTTTTCATTGTAACATGATGTAAAAATTTTGGAGAATACTGCTCTATAATACCAGTGGGAAAGTGTGCAAACATATACATATAAAGCACATGTAAAATTTGAGGTTTTCATGGCAGTGACTATGAAGAATGCTGTCTTCTGGGATGTGGCAACATGTAAATCTTGCATGAGCCAATGTTTTGGAGAAATGTTCCTCCAAAACGTTGGTTCACACAAGATCTACATGTTGCCACGTCCCAGAAGACGGCATTCTTCATGTGGAGATATTATGAGTAATATGGAAGTTATTTTGAACTTGATGGAAAGTTTTTGGCCCAGCCAAAGATACCACTTATTATAGAAGCTAGAGTTTTTCAGTTTAATCTTTACAATAAATAAAAGTCTATTTTCAGATGACCTTCAACACGTATGTACTCCATATCGAAGCCGATTACAACAAATTTAGGCAGTCTGCACATATACAGTCATTTTATTTGCTGGAAAAGTTATGAAAACCTCTGGTGTATATATATACCAGGATGCATGAAATTCTTGACAGAGTCTTCTTGAAAACTTTCTGCCACTGAAACAGAGTTGCTCTGAGTGTCCAGAGTGGCTCTGGGGCACACAGCCTCCTATCCAAACGGTACTGGAGGCCCTTTCCCTGAGGGTAAAGAGGCTAGGGTGTAAAGCTGAACACTCACCTCCAACTAGTGCCAAGTTAAAGAAAAAGTGGATCTATACAGCCATTCCCCCACACATCTTCATGGCGTAGTGCTTAATTAGCTAAGCACAGGGACAACTTTACCTTTTATACCCACTGCTAGGTGACGACTCAACACGCCTTAACAATAGAGAGGCTGTTTTCTATGTGGTCTGTGCAGCAACTGTTGCTATACAATGGTATGGTAAACATGCCTAAAACAACATGGGACAATAGGAGACAGTATTTTCCATTGGGGTACGTGGAAAATGGCTATAAGGAAGAATCAATTAGGCAGTATAGAGCAGCCGGCAAGTCAAATTTTGAGACACCACCCTGCTGGGATATGAGCTTGGGAGCAGAGGAAGTGAATTGAGCCGAGAATAATGGAAAGAAAGGAATTAGCCTGTGACAAGAAGACTTTATGTGTGATTTGAAGTTACAGTGAGACTTAATAAATCTTGCCAGGACATGACTAGTGATGACAGAATCCTACTGCATGTGTAATGTGTAGACTGGCAATAGCGCTGTATTGCCTGTAGTCCCAGTTGTGAATGTATAAGGTGCAATAAATCCAGTCATTCCAATCCAGAGCCCATCTTATGTTATGCAGAACCCCTACATTTGACAATGTGATGATACTACACACAAGCAAGTTTTATGGGCCTGCATAAAATAGGACTGTCATTTTATTTCCTATGAGCTAATCAGAATATTTAACATGTTATCAAAACAAAAAACAAACTCCGTGATTTCAGTCCACAAGCAAACTATACATCAGAGTTCTGTATTATTAAAAGTAGGATTGATAGTATTTTTTTATTGCTAGTGAGGTGGCACTAAGTCCCTTGCACTGAGGCCACTTCTGGCCTATTGTACCAGCCCCAGATGATAGGTGAGGGTGATTGTGGAGAAATTGATGGAATGAAGACTGGCAGGGGAAACCGAAGTACTTGGAGAAAACTTGCTCCAGTGCCACTTTGTCCACCACAAATCCCACTTGATCAAACCTGGGATGCCAGCGACTAACCACTTGAGCTATGGCGCAGCCTACAGGNCGCTTAATTAGCTAAGCACTTGATCCCACTTGATCAAACCCGGGCTGCCGTGGTGGGAAGCCAGCGACTAACCATTTGAGCTATGGCGCAGCCTACAGGATTAATAGTAACAGTAATACCTAACTTAGGGCTACATTATAAAATAGTGACACAAATTTTCAAGTTACCACAGTTACAGTATTTTACTTGTTTACAGTGCTTATGACTCATCCAGTAAGCAGACTGAAAATTTGTGACTAAGCAGCTTTATAACTTTATGATTTATGTTTGGGAAGAAATGATGAGGGTATGTAACACTTTACAATCATGTGATTGCTGGGTCTGCAGTACCAACACAGGTAAATTAAAACCAACAGCTCTGTCATTCTTTATTTTCAGTTATGCACAGCTTTTCTTGTGATGTTCATATGTTGACATAACTTCTTTTTGTGTAAAAATATTTAAGGGGGTATTGTTCTCTTACTGATGTTCTAATAAGTTTGTTAAACTGAATGACAAAGGACCAAAGCATCACACTGCAGAGGCAAGATAAAAATTTTATTGTGATTTTAGTTAACATATTAGAAGAGACTTAAGCTTGTGTTTTTGGATTAAAAGGACAAACATTCTCTTTATAATGTAAGAAATGATCACCAATATGAGGCTGCAGTGCACATCCATGTTACAAATATTTGGGTTGTGGGATTCTGTACTTGTGGAAATTATAAAAGATGAAAAATTTGCAATATGGAACACAAATTTACCATTAAGGAAATGTGAAATAAATATTTAGAATTGTTTAAACACAAGCCATGAAACTAGGAACAAATTCAGCCCACCTTTTTTTTTAAGAAACTGAGCTTGCACATATGCATACAAGAATGGCTGGTAGTGGCACTGCTATTCATTCACACCTTATTTTTTAAATTCTTCAGTGTATTACTGTTATGTACACAAAACAGTGTGTGTCTATTAAATGTAGACTGAAAAAAGTTTCCACAGGAACAGATGTCTATTTATAATATGGGAGTCCATGGTTCATATTATGGAATTTCATGATATGGGAATTTTCGACAACACACAGTTATGACATCAAGTACAATAGGGACGCATTCTTAAGTCTCCATTATGCACCATAAAGTTTTTAATTTTCATTATTAATCTTTCATATAAGTAAACATTTTTGGTCTCCATCATTATTAAAATAACTCAGGCAAGTTTTGCTGTTTCAGATCACCAACCCATATTGCTAGCATTCTCTTCAGCTGTTCCATATCAAATTTCACATGCCAGTTAACTGTGAAGCAGTTAAAAGAGTAGTGTCTATACCATTTTGCTTTTCAGCATAATTCAGAATTATCTGAAATGTACAGCTAGAAAAACCAAAACACCTATCAATGTCCACCTGATAATCACCAGCCTTGATATGATAAATGCATCTGACTCTCAGTATAATGCAGGTAACAGGGGACATTACCTGTGTTATATGCAAAATTTACATTTATCTAATTTTGGAATCCGTGTTGCTTGAAGTATTAGTTTCATTGTTAAGTTTTTGATAATGCATGGACTGCTTACAGTTTTAAACAAATTCGTGGAACAACTGTTGTCATTACTGCAAAATTATAATATATTAAGCCTTATGTGTAAAGTAATAAATCCAAAGTTTGTTATACTGAAACTTTGTAACTGTCCATCTGAATATCCAGGTACTTGTAATACTGTACTGCTGTATGGGCTTCCACATATTCAAGGGCCTTTCCACAAGAGCTACAGCTCTGAATTTTTTTTTCTGCCAGCTCATAATTAACATCTTACTGTGGAAAAAGCATTCTTCCCAACATATCTATTAATCTATTTTTTCAACCTCATGAAGACCACGGTGAACAAAATATATGACATACCTAATGCTTGTCTGTTTTAACCACAGCCTTAAGTCTTGATGTATAGAAGCCTTCACACACAGGCTGGTGGTGTGGGTTCCACTAGTTCTTAGTACCTGAACAGATGCTTGGTACAAGAAATATGGCAAGAAGCATCCTTGTCCTGCATTCTCATCAGGTAGTCCCTTCCCCTGGGACACATACTGGATTCTTACTTAATCGGACAAGCTACAATCTAATGTAAATTTCCTATAAATGGGAAAATATGAAGCACATGCAGTAATAGTCCACAGACAAGAATAAATTAGAACATTTACATGTTATAAACTGGTGCTTTTCTGGTCGTTCTTTTATCAAAAATTTATACTAAAGTGCATCTTTCCTTCCTCCAGCATTGGATAAAAGGTGAACAGATGTCTCTATGCAAATCAGTGAAATTCATGCACCATGAATGGTCAAACAAAATACATGCAACCACCAACACACATGTGAAGGGAGCTGACAAAAACATTATTTCTTTCAACAATGAAGGCTGTTTTAATTTGTATCTTCCCGAATCAAGGAAACATGCTAGTGAAGTTACAGTCAAACTGTGTTTTATTTCCCAGTCTCATTCACAATTCTCTTCTCTCCTTCTTCTTCATCATCCTTGTGTTTATTTGGGTCATCTGGTTTCATTGCTGGGAAAAACAGGACCTCCTAAAAGCAGAATGGACAAACACCATGTTAAATTCCCTTTACATGCAACAACTGCATGCATTAATTTATCAGGCAATGTCCCTTCTTCCCATCTGCACCCTTCTATATGTCATTCTACAAAGCCAGGCCCAATGAGAACAGAACAGTATTAAATTAGGAAAAGTTGAATGTGACCAGTTCAAATATCACCTTTCTTGGACACACTGACATGTATGAACATGTTTAACTGATTATAATATGCACCAAGAAAATTCAATTAATAAGTCTAAAGCTGAAACCTAAGAAGTTGGAAGAAAGAAAAGAGTAAAATAATGGCTCAAGAACAAGTACAAACCAAAATCATAACTGGTAATGAATACTGGAACATATGGGACTTTTGCAATTATCTGGAATACAATACTTTATATCAGGGAGTAAAAATAAAACATTAAAATAATCACAATACATCCATTTATATTCAGATATTTAAAATTATATTTCTGAAAACTAGTTTAGGGTTAAATTAAAACATATCAAACCTAATTTTTTATGTCTCTTCATTATAATAGTGGAAAGACCAGACAAAGCAATACTAGAACACAAGCACATGCCATGCAGATGAAATTCCTATAAAGAAGGGAGCATACTCAAAGAAAGAAATTCTGTGAGACTAAAAGAGATTTTAGAAGAAAAATTTCTGTGTACAAAAACAATCTACCAGTGGTTTCAACATATCTGTGGATAAGTTCTGGAACAAAATCATTAAGCAATCTAATGGGAAGATTATAACTTGACACACAACTGACAATTATTAGATTATCACTATTATGAAATTTGATCTTAACAAAGACATTCTAAAGTCTTCTAAAGGAAACCAGATTGAGACAAAAAAAGTTCTTTAAATTTGTTAATGTTGTCAGTTTGACATTAGTTTTATATATATATTTCACTGTATACACCAAGATCCGGTCTAGAAAACCGAAATTAATGGCCATGGGGATTCATTGCGCTGAGCACGCGACACCCTCTATCCACTAAAGCTGGTATTAACTTCACCAACAAGCGGCGGTCACTCAGTTGGTATAGTTCACATGTGGACTAAAACCATGGAGTTATATTATGTTATATACCAAGATAAAAGAACATTGGTCATTGAATTTTTCAATTGGCCTAATCCTTCCAGCAGCAGTATGGCCCTGGAATTGACTCAGTCTCTAACAGAAATGAGTACCAGGAACCTTCCTGAGGGATAAAGGGCTGCCAGCACATAAGGGTGACAACCTCATCGCCATCTGTGAGCCAAACTCTAGAAGATGTGGTAGCCTTGACATCTCACAATCCTACGGGCCTCCATGGCCTATTACAGGGTCAGCTTTACCCTTCTTTTTGCAATACCCATATAACAAAGGAAAATAAAAATGATTCCTCTTTGCTCTGCTTATATAATTGTAAATAATTCTGGTTTGTCAGTGTCAACACAAACATTCTTGTTTGTTTCAATTTATGAATCTTCCAATTTGTCAATATTTCAGCAAATTATCATATTCATGGGCAAAGGTTTATTTACTGTTTGAAATGAGTAAAGATATAGTTGGCAGAAGAGTCCCTGAAATCCTTCAAAGTTCTGGAGACAAGAAGCATACATTACAGTAATCATCAGAAGAATGATCCCAGTTTTCTTTTATGGTCATTATTATAGAGTGTATGATACACCAATGTTGCTGTCAGCACAAAGGCCTAGTCTACTAGTAAATATAATGTGTGTCAAGTGACCTGTACATGCCATTCCATATTAATAGCTCTACTTATCCCAAATTAATTTTTCATAAGAGATAAATGATTTGGGTTCTGAATTTTGTCATCTTATGTTCCTTATGCATTATTTTAATTCCTCCACGCTATGACCATGCCTAACAATATGGTAAATACATATAAAAATTAAATGTGCCTTTATAATATATTCAGGATTCATGAGCGTCCTTATAAGACAATTAAAGAAATTTTGTTTCAATAACATGGAAAGTTAATCTGTTAGTCAAGCTTAGCTAATCCCACATGCAACAAAATCTTAGTAATGCAATGCTTCTGACAAATATTTGCACATATGAGAAGCAATTCCAGCCAGAGTGTCCTGCAAGAGAAAAACCACACAATAGTATTCAAACACTACATGATTCAAAACACAGCTCACAGTTATAGCTCTTACCTTGATGTTATTGGAATCTGTGAGGAACATGGTCAGTCTGTCTATGCCCATGCCCCAGCCTGCTGTTGGGGGCAAACCATACTCCAGTGCTGTACAAAAATTCTCATCAACTAATTGAGCTTCATCATCACCTGCTGCTTTATCCTGCAAACCATAGCAAAATTGATTCTCCAATTTGGCTGTTCAAATAAAAGAGAGCATATGAAGGTGAAATCCAACATCATAAACTAAATCAACTCTTGGTAGTAAAACACGAAGGCTCAGTCTCTTGATAACAAAGCCCACTGCGCACAATCCCAAACTACTTCCATCCTTATAACCTATGTCCTTAAGATCTATTCTGTTTCCTTCTCATCTTGAAAGTGTAACCAACACTCAAAACGTTTCCCCATCAAAATTCTATATATAATTCCTATCTAATGCATATGGGATACGTGCTTACTCCACTGTAACTCAGTTTCATTATCCTCACAACAGGTTCATATGCAATCTCAATGTCCATTTATTACAGACATGAAAGTACTACTGATAAAGATAATCACTGGCTTCCAACTGTGGTGGCCCAGGTTTAATTCCAAGTGAGGTCATATGGAACTTGTGATGGACAAAGTGGCAATGGGGCAGGTTTTCTCCTCTGCCAGTTATCATTCCACCAGATTTAAGGTTCTGACAACAGTGGTTATGAAGAGCTTGATCTTCTACTTCACATTCATTAACCATCCTGTCATGGATGATATATAGTCTCAATACTGACAGTGTCATTAAATAACAAACAAACAACAAGAAGTTCTGGGAAGAACCAATCGCCTACTTTCCTTTGATATGATACAAACTTCATATAAAATGACACATCCAACAGTTCTATTCTTGCATGTGCATTTGTTGCCATGGTAACATTTTAAACAAGCTGCTTCCCCCCCACATGCACACACAGAGGTATTTATGAAGTATGCCACTAAGGTGGGCTCAGGTGTCATGATATGCAGAATTGCTGCTAATTAATCCAGCTAAACTAAAACATGTCCTGGATCTTCTCCCATACATTCCAGCAGTGAATCACACCTCCAAAACACTAAGATCAAGCAACAAACATGCGGATGATACTGAGGAACTCAATTCCCAACTGCTTTCATTGATTGCAGTAACTAATTTGTAGGCCTACACAATTTATACAATGTACACTGCGTTCAATCAAGGAGGAAATTTTGCGACACCACTGAACGCGCCCAACATACCTCACAGATTGCTGCTGTAACTGCCAAAAGCAGAATGAGTCATTAGCGCTGATAAATGCACAGTTGGGTGGCATGATGTTGTCACTGCAGCTAAGTTGCATTAATAGTCAGTCTGCATTAGAGATTTCCATAGGTGGTCAACATTTATACTGAAATGAAGTTCACTACTGAACAGCTTGTGTTTATTGTCAAAATTTTTCCAAGGAAAAAAAACTTTCAGAAAATGTATCAGTAAGTTTCATTGTAAATATCCTGATGCGCCAGTTCCCACGAAGTTGTGTGTATCCAAGCTTTTGAAAAAGTGGCAGGCCACAGGTTCAGTGTGTGACACAAAGAAGCAATTGAAGAGGATTGTGCTGACTGAAGAAAAAGTCTGGGATATTGTGGCATGGCTACAGATCAGTCCTCAAAAATCGTTAAGACACTTATCACAGAAAACTGGTGTTTCACTAGGATCTGCTTTCACAGCCATGAAATTAATCAAATTTCACCCATATAAAATAACAGTTGTGCATGAGCTGAAACAATCAGATTACGCAGCAAGAATTCGTTTTTGCAACTGGCTGCTACAAATTGTGCACGATGGAATCGTGGATCCACAGCTTCTGTTCATGACTGATAAGGCATGGTTTCACATTAGTGGTCATGTCAATGCACAAAATATAAGAATGTGGAATGATGAAAATCCTCACGCTATACAGCAAGTGCCATTACACAGTGAAAAGGTAGGGGTGTGGTGTGCCGTAAGTCTGCTGCAAATCATTGGCCCCTTATTTTTCCATGAAATTGGGAACTCTGACCGCTACGTTAATTATATACTGAATCCGTTCTTCAAACAGCTGACTGCTCTAGAAACTATGGGTATTTTGAGCAAGGCAGCACTACAGCACATATGGCTAATGCAACCATGGTCGCAATATGGGAAGTGTGTGAAGACAGAATAATCAGCAAGGGACTGTGGCCTCCCAGATCTGCAGATCTCAGTTTTTGCGATTTTTATCTTTGGGGAAACCTAAAGGGAAAAGTCTACAAGAATAATCCTTGCACCACTGAAGCTCTGCAGAATGAAATAACACACATAATTAGTTCAATTACCATGGACCAACTTCAGAAAGTGTCACATAATTCATTTATGCGATGCAAGACATGTTTGCAAGCAGAAGCAGGTAACTTTCAGCGCCTGTTATAAAGCAGGGTAAATTTGTGTTATATTTTTATGGTATTCTTATAATGAGTGCATGTACAGAAACTGATGTGAGGGAAGTCGTGGAGAAATGATCCATCCACTCTACACTAGCAAGAGCATGCATGTTTATCTGCATTGATGACTCATTCCATTATTGGCAGTTACAGCAGCAATCTGTGAGAAATACTGTATCCGATTCACGCTGCTGCCCTGGTTTCCTCAATGACTGAACACCCTGTATTATTATATGCAACATTGATTTAAAGGTACATTTGTAATTCATAGTTAAAAGAAAAACAAATGCAACAGTTTGAAATATTGATTTTAGGTAGACTAAATAATGCTGTGCCTACAAAGTTCTATGCTGCATCAAAACAAATTAATGTTAATTTTTATCTCAACAATGGCTTTTCAGATACCGAAACAAACTATAGGAATAATAATATAAACACAACTGACATGATTTTATGATTTATGGGTTTATGCAGAACAAGGTTTTCCATATATTTCAAAGAGAGTGAGAAGTGGCACATGGCTATCTGAGCCGAAGCCCTTCAGTTACATTCTGAAATAATACCACCCATGATTAAACACCTCCCCCCTACACATGTACAAATGCGTGCATGGGCACATACATACATACTGTATGGTGGTTTAATATTGAGGTTCAGGATACAACCATAAAATTACTATGTACAGATGGTACATTAAAAAATTATAACATGAGAGGCTGTACTAGGGCACATCACTGAGGAATTAAAACGATATGAATCAAGAAGACAGACCCACTTTTTTGGAAGAGCAGAGAAGATGTGGAACACTGAACGTTTAAAGTGGCATAAAACTGGATCTGTCAGACATGTTGAGGTCTACTCCATTATTGAAATACAAGAATGTTAAGACACACTACAGTAATTGTATCTTTCAGGTTGTCACACCATGTTGTCTAGTAGAAGTTCACTCAGTTACATTGATGAAGATGCTGCTTTTCATAATCACTACTGCAAGAACCTCAAATTCACCATCTCCAAGGATAATGCATAGTACACTATTAAGATTAAATACATGGTGCTCCTCTACGTGTGCATATTCCACAAGAACATGGAAAATGGTGGCAGTAGACCATAATCTGTACAAACAGATGCCAGCTCATCACACAACAAACATCCATGTTATGCATGATGTTGAACTGACAGGCGCCCCCTCCCCCCATAAAAAACCCCGCAGAAAAGAAATAGTATATAAAACTGTTCTTCACTGTATACAAAACAATGATGTATAACCTACGAGAAAAAGATTCCAATGAAAATACTGTCATGATATAGGGGCGATTATAATTGGGTTTTGGATAACTGGATTTACTGACCACTTACATGTCATAACTATGGATACCTATAACACTATCACCGATTTCCACACTACAAATCACTACACACTAAGTTTTCTCAGTCTGCTTTCACTAGTTGTTTCCTGGTAATGAATCTTAACAGTGGAGATTCTTCAGCTTCTATGGTCATGCTGTTGCCCGATGGTCAATACTCCACAACTGAACTCACTGCTCCAACTGTCCTGGTTACAGACTTGTAACAAGGGCTATTGTTCACTCCCTTAAGGTTCATGAACTGCATTCCCTAACCCTGTAACTGACAACTCAAGACTGACTGGGTCACCCCAGTTGTCTTTTTTGTAAACCCTTTGTATGGACTGAGTAGAAAACACTATTTCCAGCAGTAACTCTATTGTTGTAGAGGTATGTTTACACCATTACATAGCAATGGCTGTTGTCTCATTGTCTGTTTCGAGGTCTCTGCTTAGCAACGGGTCTGTACACAATATTTTTACTGAAAATAGGGATACATTATTAAGGGAGTAACAATGATACAGTTCTTTTCTGCTGAGCCACATAGTCTATAAACACCAGCTAATGGAAGAACAAACAGTGGAGGCACATACTCAAATCTGAAATACACAATATATTTTCCAATTCATCCTTTGTAATTTTGCATCAGTTATTTATTACATATACAAATCTAGTATTACAAAGCTAATCATACTACATTATAAAAAATATTTCTTTATATTCTGTTAAATATTAACTGTATCAAAAAACGCTCAACATAAAAGCTGTTGGAAGTTAGTTACATCTGCATTTCATGTCAAATATGAAATATTTTTTTTTCACAATAAGCCACGTCTGATAAAATCTTTCCTGAAAAAGCTATGAGCAGAATCTCAGCCACAGGTCGTTTCTATCAACAAAAACCTAAGAACCAAAACTAAATCCTCCTTGCCACTCTCAGTACAGTTCGCTAATGCCAAATGATATCAAAATTTTCAACAGTTCAGTTGTTTAACTTACTTTGGCTTGCTGCTCAAATCGCTCCCGCTGCACAGCAGGGTCATTTAGTTCTGTATATGCATTGACTACCTCTTTCTTCATGATGAACAGCTCAAACCTTTCAGTAAGACCATGAATAGAGCGATGCCACTTAGCTAGAGGACTCATGATCTGTGGATGGTCACAGATAAATGTAGGACTGACACATTTCTCTTCCAAGAATTCTCCAACCAACTGCAATTAAATATTACATCATCAATTCTTTATAAGCAAAAGTATAAAATCATGAACGGTTTTATTGCTATTGCCTCATTCCTATTTACCCCCAAATTTGTGTATGGCCACGTATTCTTCCATATGTGAGTTTTACACATTTGAATCAGAAGTGGAATTAATGTGCTCTTAATTTTGTTTTTTTCTAGTGTTGTATTTACTCATGTAATTAAAGCACATCTTACTTAAAAAGATCATGTGTGAAGGTCATGGTATGTGAAAAACAGGCTATAATGTGAATAAAATATGGGAAGACTAGATTCAAAACAATTTTACAAAAACAATTACTGATTACCATGCCAGACACTGGAATGGAGTCCATAAGGATGGTGGTAAAGGGGCACGACTTGACAAATCTGAAATGATAATAAAAAGAACTAATGAGGGAGTGAGGCTGTGTGAGGAAGACATAGAAAATTGTTGAAAGATGGAAACGTGGCATGAGGAACCCTTAATAGGGAGAAAACGTTGATGTTACGAAAACTGCAGCTGCATAATAATGAGAAACAGTAAAATTTCCATTCTTTTCACCATAATCTACAACTGTGATTTTGAATCCATCTGTGTAATTGTGATGTGATCCAATATCTGACACCCTTTCAAATCCTCCCATATCCACTGTCTCTCTCTTAATGTTATCTCAGTCACTCCTCCTTGGTTAGACCCCGTCAGCCAAACAAGGAATGTCTGGCTGGCACTGATAAACAGAATGTGCATGCTTCCTTTTCTACATCCTTGTGTCAAGACCAACTGATGCCTACTCAATAAAGGTGCACTTCTAGGAAACCAAAAGGACGTAAAAGGGGAAACTTTTAAAAATAATTTGTTACTATTGGTGGCGCTCCCAATGTTGGGCACCTTACTGTATTCAGTAAAATCAAGGCGTCTGCATCATTCCTATCACTTTATGTAAAATTAATAAGATTAAGCATAACTTTAAAAGTGTCAAAATGGGCGAACTGTCACAAAGTAGTATTAATACATTTGAGGGTCATCCAGAAAGCAAAGACTGTTCATGCATATCACTTCCACGGGTCAACGAATTACACCATTTCAAGGTCAATGGGTCTAAGTAGTCTTTTAGTAGCAAGCCAAGTGAATGACAAGCTGATTATACCGATTTACAACATTTATGGTATTTAAAAATGAGAAGGAAAATTGATAATCCCACCAATTTTGAAGTGTGAGCTGTAATTCGGTTTCTGAATGCACAAAATATCTGGAATGTTTTTTTTTTTCCCCATCCTGACCTAGTTACAAGAGATTTTCATTTGTTCACATACTTGAAGCAGTTTACGGGGGCATGTGCATGAGTAGCCCTGAAGAAGTGAAAAAGATGGTTAAAGACTGGTTCAACGGAATGGCAGCAGGCATACAGAAATTCATCACACAATACAAGTCCCTGAATCTTCATGGGGATTATGCAGAAAAATGATTTACATTGATAATGTAAAATAACATTTTTTAATTTTATTCTTTTTTAATCACCAAACAGTCTTTACTTTCTGGACGACCTATGTATTACTGAAATAGATCTAATAGGCAACACTTAAATCAGTATAGGAAGCTATACTAAATGTCTGAGCAAATCTAAATTCAGAAAGCAGATAAACCACATACATATAATATGGAGTCTACTGTAAATAACGGCAGTCATTTCCATGTGGCTTGCAAAACAAAATTTGCAGCATTTCTTATTCAGCATGACCTACATGTCCCAAAATCTCATCCTTAATTTAGCCAATCTAAGGTAAAGAGAACAAATCATGAAGCTCAACATTATGTAATTTTCTCAGTTCTGCTACTTCCCTTCTCTTAGGTCCAACTATTCTCTTCAGCATTTTGTTATAAAATATCCTCAATCTTTGCTTCTTCTCTCATAATGAGAAACCAACTCTTATCCACCCCACCTCAAATAACTTCTAACGAACTTCTTGGAGCTGAGCCCTTCTTAAGAAGCTCCAATTGTGCAGCTACTCAAGAACATCCCAGCATTTTATGGAACCCAAAAGTTCATTACCGTGTTCATAATAGCCCTCCACTGGTCTCTATTCTAAGCCAGATGGATCCAGTCCATATCACCCCATCTTATCTCTCTAAGATACATTTTCTTAAGCTTCAGTCATTTATCCAAAGAATCTGTCCATGTCTCAGGCCCTTTATGGCATTTCGTAACAATCTTTTTTTTTAAGGCAAGGAGTTGTGGGATGTCGTATGTAGAGACATCCTCTTATTAAACTGATACATAAATATTTTTTGTAGTTGCACAGATAGATGGTATGTTATGGATTGGATTGGTCTGGCTCAGGATAGGGACCAGTTGAGGGCTCTTGTGAACACAGTAATGAACCTTTGGGTTCCATAAAATGCTGGGAAATTCTTGAGAAGCTGCACAATTGGCGGCTTCTCAAGAAGGGCTCAACTTTGTGAGTGAGTGATTGAATGTAGTTGCAGAGAATACACAGATGAACTTGAAGAACTGAAGGCTGCTGGCTGAAGACTAATACTATAACAACACTACTACTCCTGGAAACACCCTCACACCTATTCCAAATCAAGTCAAAGTCACACTGTGACTGACGGTCAGTCGGTTCGTCAGTCAGTCAGTCTTATGACCAGATATTTATTACTGTTCGACAGTTACAGTCTTATTTTTTGTGGGGCGCCCTCTCTGATGAGAAGGCGGGTCTGTCTTTTGTATATGCTGCTGGCCCTTGCCAGTGCAGTCTTTGTCGGGTCCGAGTCCCTTGCTACTGGCAAACATATTTTACTACCTCAGATTTGAGACTTCCCTTTTCATCACCTCCTACGACTCGCAGGGTCATGGTGGAGGTATCTGACCCAGACTCCACATGGGGCACACCTATTTCAAAGTCAAGTCACATTGCGACCAACGGTCGGTCAGTCAGTCTGTCTTTCTTGGTGTTGAGCCCCGACTGGGGCTCATGACCAGATTTTTTTTTTCTTTATATGAAAGTTACTGTCCTGTTCATTTGGGGCGCCCTCTCTGACGAGAGGTCGGGTCTGTCATTTTTCAGTCATAGTCTGTGTTAGTAAGTCCATTGTCAGTATTTACAATCTAAAACACCTATTTCTATCGCTGTATCTTCTTATAAAACCTTGAGGTGGACCTACAGAAAACACATCCATTGCCTAATGATGGATGCCTACTGTTGTCATGTATTGTTGCAGGCTCTACCTAGCAACAGCTATTGTTACCCAGCTATTGCTTAGCAGTGGATGGTAATTGGCTAGCGCTTGATTCACTGTGGGTGGTTCCCACAGAGTTGCCAGCCAAAGCTCAACCCCCAAGCTGGACGACCACCCTTTGCCAGATGTCTGTGACTGTTTATTCAATATATTTGCAGCTACCCTCCATATCTGGAAGGTGTCTCCTCCATCTGCAACCTGAGGATGCATCATGCTATGGTGACAAGGGACCCACCTAACATGCCCCCCACCCCACAGTAAGATGTAAATTTATGTCTTCTTAGTCTGCTTATTATAAACATGCTTAACCATTATCGTCTAGAAAATGGGGACCTTATATCCTCCACTGCTAGAGTGCTTGCAGCCAGATCTTAACTCAGGGGTGATGGTTCCAGTACTTAAAAATGTAACCCTCAGTCAGCTTATCACGTGAATGGGTCATTACAATAGTGCAACATATGGCCAATAAAGGTTAATGGTAGACGTAAAGTTGTCCCTGTGCTTAACTAATTAAGCAGAATGCCATAAAACTTATGGAGAGTGGATGTATAGATATACATATTCTTGACCTTGGCACTAGTTTGAGATGGTCAGTTTCATGCCCCAGCCACTTGACTCCTGGGGAAAAGCCCTCATAACCACGGGATAGGAGGTTGGGTGGATCCCATAACTGGTTAATGTAAAGTGCAAATTCAAAACCCCAGCAAATTTTACTGTCAAGATTCCATTTAGTTTTTATTGAAAGACACATGAAAACTAAAATCCTGTGAGCTGGAAGTCACTCAAAATTAGACTGCAGTGCACTACAGTGTCACCTTATCTAAAAGTCTTGCAGCAGTGCGAGGAGGAGGACACTCCACCCCATGCTTCTCACATAGGTCGCTCAAGAACTTCACAGCTTCTGGACTTTCCAGCCTGTCCGCCTCTGGCAACTTTACATTCAGGACCTCCTCCAGTGATGTAAACATTGAAATCCGTTTGAAGGGTGGTGTAAAATCTATTTCAACAGCCTCTCCTTCTGGCCCATCTGGGTGATACTTGATCTTGTACGTGCCATGTATACTTTTTACCATGCCTGAGTAACAAAGAAGATACAATTTACTTCCACCAGCTAGCATAATAAGACTCAACCGCCATTTGTCTGGATCTGTAATACAAAACACTGAAGAGACAATAACATTATAGAAACTGAATACTTACATATTCACAGTGTAATTTTGAAACTCATACCCAGGCACAATGCTGCCTCCCTACTGGTACCACCTGACCCCTTTGCACTTATATACATATATACATATTCATGTTTGTATATATGTACTATATGTTACGATATGTAACTGGCAGATATTGCTCAAATTGTCGGTGCTCACCTTTAAATTCAGAAAGGGACATGATCTGGAGCGCTGTTCTACATGTGAATAACATGGTTCTCCAGAGCTGTCATAATTTGCAGAAAGGCAAAAGACTTCTATTTCTTTAGTTTATTTTACTTTTGTTTCTGTTCAATGTAATAAGATAATTTTTGTGTCATAATGCCTCATAAGTCAGTTTTGAACTAATATCAGATCTAACAAGAAATAAGTGAACTACAACTTTCAAATCCAGTGCAACAGAAACATAAGTTTCCGTGTTCTGCTGGCTACAGCAAGTGACAGAAAGAAACTGCCCTCATCTCAATAAATGATGGCTACTAATCATGACAAGGAACGTAACAGATCCAGCATCAGAGGACGCGGAAGAGCAGCGAGACCTTCAAAGTGAAAGTGCAGCCAATATGATAAGTTGAACTTTAATTCATGACCTTTTTAACCAGTGGTAATAATATAACTAGTTAAAGTGAACTATACACAGAGAAAACAAGTGAATGTGAAAGTATAACCAGTGATCAAAATTGAACTTCGACTCTTGAAAAAATTTTTTAAATTTTAAAATTTAACTTTTAACATTTGAATAGTATTTTAACTTGTATTTTATAAGAAGAACTTGACATATATTATTCAGCATAGGCCTGAACAGGATACAGGATCGAAATAAGTGGAAAACGAATGTGATTGCGTGTGATTGTGCAACTGTGTTCGTACACCTGAGGATGACCTCTTGAGGTCGAAACATGTAGTGTGACAATAATAAAAACGTGTTGTGTGGTCGGTGAAATTAACTCTAACATCTCAACGGTGTAACATCATAAATCCCTCCCATTAATAATACCAATACTGCAGCCTCTCAAATTTCTGAGACAAAACTTGGTTCAGTAAACCCTTGCTAATCTAGTTACAGTTAATCTGGACTGAAATATGAAAAATTCTGTTCACAGTTGAGTACATACTTTACAAGACACATGACATGCAGGAAGGCAGATGAGTTCATTGTTCATTTATTTCAAATTCAAGCAGATCCAGATACAGGTTGAGAAGTATATAATTGTCTGTTCAGACAAATCATGACAGTTTCTTCAAACTTGCTTTATTACATTAAAACAAGCATAACTCTTGTTTTCTACTGATGACTAAATGTATTATATTTTTATAGTTTTTCAGTAAAGGCTCTACAGTGACATTTTTTATTTATTTTCATCAGCACTAGCTACATCATTAAATTTTCCATTTATTTGTGTTCTAAATGTTTTTTGTCTTTTAGGGCTACCTTTTGCATCAAAAATCCAGTTTATCACTTAATCTGGATGACCTCTCCCCCAATAAACCCAGATTAGCGAGTGTTTACATACATCATAAATCCCTTTCATCAGTAATACCCATATTCTCTCAACCTGTTGGGGTAATACCCTTAATATTACTTGAATACCCGAACCACTCATCATGGGATTTGGCATGTATGTCATGCCACCGGAAGCCATTTCAACTGGGTACTTAAGAAATTCGTCATCAACAGTACCAACACTACAGTCTCTCGCACTGTTGAGGTAATACCTTTAATATTACTTGAATTGCTGAACTGACTGTCACAAAAATTGGTATGTTTCATGGTACCTGAGGCCATCTCAATGATGTACTTCATAAAGCACTCCCATCAGCAGTATCAATAATGCAGTCTCCCAAACTGTATTGTCTTATTTACTTCATTATGCGTATACCAAAGTTTTCTTTCTACTTGTCATATCAGATACTCAAATTACAGTGAAATTAAAGTGATTAGTTCTTCCCAGAACTTGTTTTACTGATATTCATAAATAATCAACAGTTATACATATATGGATAAAGGTATAGCTGTTCATGTAACAGGCTGTGAAGGCCCATAGGGTAGTGAGATGTTGAGGCTCCCACATTTTCTCTAGACAATCAGCTAACAGATGGTGGTAAGGTTGTCAGCTTTACGCACTGGCTGCCCTTTACCTCCCAGAAAGATTCCTGGTACTCATTTCTGTTAAGAGGATGAGTCAACCCTAGGGCTATAGTGTGGATGGAAGGTTCAGGTAAATTGAAAAAGATCCACCTCATTGGGAATCATACCCATGACCTTCCAGCTAGTAGCACAGTGCCTCAACCAACTATGCTACCCTGTACCCCCTAAGTGATACATATTTTTTTTTCTAACACTTACTTACTTACTCACTCACTCATGGAGCTGAGCCCTTCTGGAGGAGTTGCCAATTCTGCAGCTACTCAAGAATTTCCCAGCATTTTATGGAACCCGAAGGTTCATTACCATGTTCACAAGAGCCCTCCACTGGTCCCTATCCTGAGCCAGATCTATCCAATCCATAACATCCAATCCTATCTCTCTAAGATCCATTCTAATATTGTCCACCCACCTATGCCTTGGTCTTCCCTGTGGTCTCTTAACACTACACTTTAAATTCCACCTGAGCCCCAAGAAGGAATTAAAAGCCCCGTACCTGAAAGACCAATTACTCAAAGCCACAGTCCTGTATGGCAGTGACTACTTTTAGCAACATGTCTGCAGGAGCAATGTCATGAAGAAGCAGGATCCCCATTATCTTCTCATGTCATTTTTCATGATGGCTTCTTGTAAATTCTGAAGCACAGCAGTACAGGCATCCCTAGTTATTGCTGCCTTGTGTGGAATGTAGTTGGAGGGCAAAATTCCTTCCAGATCCTATGACACCATGGCCATGATCTTTTCAACCACAATGGCAGCATCCAAAATTTCTTGGGAGTGAGTGAACCACCATTTTTCAACTGCATGGATTGTGTACTGTTTCAGGACTCCAGTGATGGGTTGACATTTCATCATATGTAACCATTCTTGAGAGTGATGTTTCTAGGCCTGCTTTGTAAGTCCACAATTCTCCTCATGAAATTGAACCCTGCACTGCTTCTGAACTGAAGTCAGCATTCTTGGAACCTAACCTTTGACAGTGTGATGTATGTGAGTAGATGTATCTCTGAATAACCTTATGTGTAACCACTGTTATCGTTGTTTTTAGACATTCTTTGTATTTATATGACATGTTCCACATCCTGCAGTCATTTGACTAACTTTGGATCTATGGAATGCAATGTAATATAAATCTAAATGTCTTGCTTTTGTTAATGAAAACTTTTGATCAATTTTCCTTTTTTGGGCAGAATCTGATAATGGATCAGTGTCTTAACCTAACAATATCTATGCTTATGTGCAAGTCGGTTGACTTACACTGCAGTCATGTCACAAGTTTTGAATGAACTGAGGTGGAACTAAACACACAACATGCAAAACAACAGAACATGTTAAATCTTGTTTCACTGTCGCACAATACTAACATGTTGTCTAGGAAGATTATATATCTTGTGACCCTTGTATTGTATCAGCTACATGATAATTTTATTTTATTGGTTACCCACATTCATGAATTGCTGTCTCTTGTCTGCAATTTATATTCATAAGCCAACATCTCAAAGAATTTCTAGAAGAAAAATCAAATGGAGTGGGGTTTGATGAACTGGGAGGTTGTCCCTGTGGTTTTCCATGAGCAAACTAACAACATCCAGAGCACTGATTTGAAAATTCTGTTACTTGTGAACAAAGATAGTACCATCACATTGCTGCCACACATTTTGTCTGGTCTGGAAAGGAATTTCTTCCAAAAGAGTGATCAAATGGGTGAACCCAACTGCTTGGGAAGGAACAGGGTTTGTAACTTCATATGGGTTAAACAATCAGAATACACAACTAATAAAATAAAATTGATATGTAGCTGGTAAGATAAACAAATAAAACAGTTTTTGAAGTGATTTTTCCTTTGCTTTCCCTCAATTTTCAGCAGCAGCTTTATAATGGATCAGAGCCGGGCTCATGGTGAAAAATTTTTCACTCAAATAACTCTAATAACAATCTGCTCAAGTTTGGCAGATTTTTCATGAGACAATGTATTTAGTAAATTTACTTCCCACCACCTAAATACTTCACAGCTTCACGGTTATGAAACACCCTCACAATGAACATATAAAGGGGTCCACCATCCATGTAGGTTCACTTTGCCAAACTTTTAGTAAATTTACTTCCCACCACCTAAATACTTCACAGCTTCACGGTTATGAAACACCCTCACAATGAACATATAAAGGGGTCCACCATCCATGTAGGTTCACTTTGCCGAACTTTTCAGGGCAAAACACTTAAAAAATCATCGGTATAATAAGCATTCACTACAAAAGTTGTAAAATGTATATGTAGTTAATTCTTACCTGATAACATGCTCTCTGTTAAGTTCATCAAGTCATGATAATCTGCATATGCCATATAGAATTCACAAGTTGTAAATTCTGGGTTATGTGTTAGATCAATTCCTTCATTTCTGAATTGTCGCCCAATTTCATAAACCCGATCAATACCACCTACAACCAGCATCTGTCAACATAAGAAATTCTTGAATTGTATTAAATATCTGTGTCTGTATTTCATACTGTTCACACCTGTGAAGTGAACTAATTTACGTAAGTAGGAAGAGAAGGAATCAGAAATTGACACTTTTATTTTAGATTCCTGCCATTTCAACTGATTGACATACGCATGTGTATGTACACACACACATGCACATAGACAAAAGGTTGTTTTAGGTTCTGTAAAATATCACTTAAAACTTTAACTCTTATTTTTCCCTATCATGAAAAAGTATGCTGGCATACTATGCCACTGCATACTGCCAAAATAAAATACTGTGTGTTAATTTAGCCATACAACGAATTTTTTACTCATTTCACATCTTGCAAGAAACTGTAAACTGGCAGATCATGTAGAAATGACAGAAGTACAAAATGGAATGAACTGAATGATGCAAGAGGTTACTATGCAAATTCTGTTGTACTGTATGCGGTGAAGGCTAAAAAAGTGTGAGGCCTTAAGGATCTATATTGTGATTCTTGTTATTTTGTCCTACCTTTAAAGTTGTCCTGTAGGTGTCCGTGGCATGCTGTGTTGTTATACTCTTCTAGGGTGTGCTGAGTTGCATATTTATACCCCTTGTGTCTATGATGTTTGTGTGGGCGTGTACTGACGTATTATGATGTCGAACATGTTATGCTGGTTATCACTTTCCCTTGTATGTTTTTGTTCTTCTATCAATTTATTGAGTTTATTAAAGCAATATATATGGAAATTTTCTTTTACATTCATAATGCTCCCTTTTTGGCATTTTCAACCATTTCCATGATTACTGTCATAGTATGTACTGGGCAAATGCAGATTTGTCTTTGTTTAGTCTTATACCTTGTTGTTAGATTTCTACAAGTTTGGCCAACGTATACTTTCCGACAGCTTTGGCAGTTTATTTTGTGTATCCCACTTTGTTCATAGGGGTTTGTTTCTCATTTTTCATTTACCAGTTTACTTACGGTGTGCGTCGTTTTGAAGGCTATCTTCATGTTGGTGTTTTTGAATAGTTTTGTGATTTTTCATATGAAATTTCCTGTATAGGTATATGTGACTCATTCTTGTTCTATTTCGGCTTTATTATCCAGAATATTTTTCTTTTGTTTAAGTTTGTTATGTAGTTTTATGGTGTCTTCATTCCTATAACCATTATTTAGTGCTATATTAACAATAGCATTTAACTCTTTGTTTTAGTGTTTTACTTTTAACCTCTTATGACCTGCTTATAATTTTCAAAACAAGGAATTCTGGATAAAAAAAAAAGAGGATGAATATATGGTTAGGAATGCTTTCTACATGGTCATTATATAAAATATATATGTTATGCTTGCTTTGACCAGAGGACCATCTCTATGACTGATATCCACTTCTGATACCAGAACAGCACATAATTTTGTATTTTGTTCTCCGTCCTCATCATTGTTTATAATACTGTAATGGTTATTGCTTTGATAAAAATAAATACACTCGGACTATCCTATAATAACATTACAATTTATATGTTCACTCTCCTGTTTCACTTTAGCATCCTGTTGCATTAGTACTGCTGCCTTTTGTACATGTGTAACCACCATCTTAAAAGCAACACTTACTTTTGTCTTTCACATATCTTATTGTGTGTTTCCACTTCACTTGTCCATCATCAGGTGTATTCACTATTGCTAAAATTTTACATTGTCATCTTAGTACATTGTGTGAATGCGCTGTAATTTTTTATTTTAAAATATTTAAAATCATCAAAAGTTCATAAAATTTCTGATTCGGCTCTGCAGCAGTGGGTTGTAAGGTGCGGGTGTTTTGTTGCAGTGGTGTGTGGATATGAACTTCCTGCTAAGTTTGTCTGGTCTGTGTGTATACAGGTTATGATTGTTTTGTGCGGTTGTTCAGTTTTTAAGAAAAGTGATGGGGATGCATGCTATCTTGTGTACAGTTGGTACAGGACTTCAAATATGGCATATGGCATCACATTTGTCAATGTATGCCATTCACATGTAGATTGTTTTTGTTGATTTATAAATGTGGCATTTTTCTAAACAATTTGTCTGCCTTTTTTTCTACAGTTTTATTATATTCACGGTGCCAATTATTGTTCCGTATGTGTGTCCTGTGTTTAGAATGTGGTTTGAATATCCAGAATTGCAGCTGTCATATCTAATGGCATGTACATGTTCTTTATTTTTGGTGCTGAATGCTCTTCCTGCTTGCCCTATGTATTCTAATGGGCAATCTAGGCACTTCATTTGGTAGATGCTACTTCTGCTATATTTATCTGATTGTGAATGGGGGTTTAGTATGTTCTTTTATTGTGTTTTGTGTGTGAAAAGCTATTTTTGTGTGTAAAGACGGACAAATAAGAGTCCTGTTATTTTCCTTACTTCTTTCATGTTGTATGTAAAGGTGTCCCATTTTGTTATGTGGTGTTGTGAATCAGTATATGTCTTCTGTTTTCTGGGATTGAGTGTTTTTTAATTTGATGTTATATTGGTTGCTTTGTAGTATGTCTTTGATGGTGTTTATAATTTTTTATTTACTTCTCCAGTTATTGGATAAGCATGAACTCAATTCAGCAGATAACTTTTACTTGATAATTTGTGCTTATATAGATGGCAGGAACTGTCAGGTATAATAATATCTGTTTGTGTGGGTTTCCTGTGCATTTACAATTTTAACTTTTTAACTTCACAGTGTACTGTTAGGTCTAAAAAGACTGGAGTTGTGCAGTTCTTTTTCTATAGCGAATTCTATAGTGGATTGTAAAAGTAAAGTAAGTAAAGGTATCCCTGTAACAGGCTGTGGAGGCCCATAGGGTTGTGAGATGTTGAGGTTCCCACATTTTCTAGACAATCGGCTCATAGATGGTGGCAAGGTTGTCAGCCCTACGTGCCCGCCGCCCTTTACCCCCAAGAATATTCCAAGAATATCCCTGGTACTCATTTCTGTTACAGGCTGAGTCGACCCCAGGGCCATTGTGACTGGAAGGATTAGGTCAATTGAAAAAAAAAATCCAATGGCCTCATTGGGACTTGAATCCGCGACCTTCCAGCTTGTAGCATAGTGCCTCAACCAACTATGCTACTGTATGCCCCTGCATTTAAGATGGTAGTTACATGAATGTACAAAAGGTTTATTCTCCTGTTTTGATTCTGATCTGCCATGTATAAACTAACGCTATGTAAGCTCTACAATTGATATAGCATAATAATATAATGGATAAACAAAATAACAAGTCAATTTTACCTTATGATAAAGTTCAGGAGCAATCCTCATGAACAAGTCCATGTTTAGTTCATTGTGATGTGTCACAAATGGCTTAGCAGTTGCTCCTCCTGCTATCATGTTCATCATTGGTGTCTCAACTTCTAGAAAACCAAGGTTATCCAAGAATGCACGCACATATGAAATAATCTGTGCTCGTGTATGAAATTTCTGACGGACTTTCTCATTCAGGATCAAGTCCAAGTATCTCTGACGGTACCTTGTTTCCTGAAATAACAAAGTATGATTATAATAAACATACTTCACAATCTCACTGTGGCATAAAAAGCCATTCATAAACACTGGTTAGTCTCATGTACTTTCAGATATTCTAAGCAAACAACCATGTTTCATTTGCTGTATCCATGCTGTGGAACACTGTCTCATAATTACACCAAAATTTATAATTTACACCTCTCATGAGATGGGGCAAGGGTACAAATTTATAACAAATTAATAAATGATTAATTAACATGTATTCTACTTCATTATTAATTAAAAAAATAAAAAGGGGAGATGAAAATCTCAATTTATGTTCATGTTTTCTTTTCAAAAGCCATTCTGGTTCCTTTAAAGAGTTTGCACAGTTCAAGCCGAGTGAAAGCATACAATCTGGGGGAAAAACATTTATGTTGTGTTAAAGTAACGGCTGCCTCTGTGGTCTAGTGGTCAGAGTTTCTGGCTACACACAGCACAACAGCCATGAAACACATATGTACATGCACTGTCTTACTTATGTAAGCCTTGAGGAAAAGGCAACAAGCTTCTATACCAAATTTAATCGTAATAGCCAATCCCACACAATATCTACTGAGAAGTGATTCTTACCCAAAAACAATGTGGATACACCTTCAAGGCGTATTTGTTTTTCCAAAACATTTATATAAATACAGTGCGTACAATCAAGTGCGCGCCGCGGCTGCANCAGTAATATAAATATAATTTCATGGCCTACAGAACTGCTCTCAACTAGAAGAAACGTTCTCCCATATATTCCATGCAACCAGCAATCACTAAAACACATTTCACATTGGCAGAAAAGCCCATTAGAATGACCTAAGGAAATTACTATAGTCAGGCTCGTGAAATTTTTTCTACTTCACTCACTGTTGTGAATGACAGTTATGGCATCTTAGGCAATGGAAATAGCTCCCTTCAAATGAAGCATTCTGGAACTAAGTAGACTACATCTACCTTCTTTTCCAAATGCTTGGGACTGTACCTTGTCTTTCAGTCCGAAATGAAGATGGGGAAGCATATGTAGACATGGTGACAGAAGCTTCACCTTTCTTGGAACAATAGATAGTTCACCTTTCTTGGTCTTTCCAGGGTTACCAATGCAACCTATTATATCACCACGTCTCAGTTTGGCAGTATCTATGGCAAACTTCTCCTCCGACTCATACACCTTCGCATTGGCCATCACTTGAATCTTGACACCTTCCCCCCGCAAGTCATAGAATATCAACTTGGCTCCAGACTCTCTGATCGCATGTATGCGACCTGAAATATGAGATAATGTATAAACAAAGACTCTCATGTATTTTTTGTTCACTTTTAGTAGTAGAATTCTGTACCATCACTTAATACATTAGCTTATATTCATGGTGTAAAGGTTTCACTTTTTTGAAAGGACAAATAGTAACAGTCCTCAAGAACAGTGATCCAGGAGGTTCTGAATTCAAATCTTGACCCAGGGATTGGCTCTCTTGATTGAGAACTTCCCTTAGTCTCTCCAGCCCAGTACCATAACACCTCAAAACAGGCTAGACAGCTCTGCTTCCAATTAATTTCATATTATATGCTCTACGCAGTTGAAAAAGTATTGTTAAATAACCCAAAAATCTACAACAGACCTGAGATTCTCATGGCAATGAATATTAAGATTATGGTCTTCTGGGATGTGATGCCATATACTCTTGTACATGGGTACCAACATTTGGAGGGAATCTGCTGCCTTCATCTTCAAACCAATCTACGAATTTGTGCTTCTGGCTGCATTCAAATCTTAGTCCAGAAAACACCTACCCTAACACGTTCCTTTGTATTTTTCCTCAGTTATTCCATTCAATGCTGTGATGATAAAGGATCTTCAAACAGACCATGACCTCTTCCTACCAATCCTTTCCAAGCCATAGTTCACTACCATTCAGTATTGTGATGGGCTATAGGATGGACAGCCAGGGTTTGATTCCTGGCGTAGGTACGATTATCCTCCTTTCCATAACATCCAGAGTGGCTCTGGGGCCCTCACAACCTCCTATCCAATGGGGGGGGTGGTTTCCCTGGGAGTAAAGCAGCCAGGGCATGAAGATGACCACCCACCCCTTCTACTGCAAAGGTCAAGAATGAGAGAGCTATACTTCCACTCCCCCAATGTCTTCATGGCATATTGCTTTTCTAATTAAGCACATGCGCAACTCTACCTTTTACACTCAAGGTAAATTCAGGAAATGACCTCTTGATTCTAGTCCTTCAAAATTCTTAGGTAGCTGAAAGTATAACTAGATAACAAATAATAATCTATGAATAGTCCTATCTTCTGGGACATAATGCCATGTAGTCCAGTGAAAGTCCACTGATGTGGACCCACTCCAGTGTAAACATGAATTTTGTGAAGTCAGAGCATCAACACATCATCAAATTCCTCAAAGAAATGTGAAGAGGTTGTTCATAAACAGATCTTGGCTGTGTATGGTCATGTTGCATCTTCCAAATATCAAGTAGAAATATTGATCTATGCAACTCAAGTGGGTAGAGAATCCATCATATATGACTCCTGCCTGGAAGGCCAGTGGAAGTGACTATTCAGCAAATGTGCCCTATAATTATTCAATAATATGGCATATCAAAACCATCTGTTCTGGCCATCCCCTGTAACTGCCTGGGCATACTGAAGGTTAGTTCTCACTGGATTCAAAGAATGGTGACTCCAGTTCAGAAGCACCACAGGGTTCAGTTTCTTGAAGAGAATTTTGGACTTCATGAAGCACATCCAGAAACATTTCTCTCAAGAATCATTACAGATAGTGAAATGTAGATTCATCATATGACTGAAAAATGCATGCAGTGGAAACATCATTGTTCACCCACTCCCAACAAATTTTGGATGCCACGGGCTGGAAAGATCATGGCCATGGTGTTTCAGGATCTGGAAGCCACACAAGGCAGCTTGTCACTGGGGATACCTATACTGCTGTGTTTCAGAATTTAAAAGGCGGTCATTAAGAAAAAAAAATACGAGAAGGTGACAAAAACAAGAGCAGATGACAACATGTGTCCTGTTTCTGCATGACAATACTCTTGTAAACAAATTGCAAAAACCAACTCTCCCCCTGTGGGACTGTAGCTCTCAGTAATTATGCCACCCACTCTACAACTTACACCTGGTCTCCAGTGATTATGTCATGCTCTGAAACCTGAGGGAACACTTGTGTGGACACCATTTTTCANTTACAACTTACACCTGGTCTCCATGCTCTGAAACCTGAGGGAACACTTGTGTGGACACCATTTTTCAAGCAATAGCAAAATGAACATGCTGTTTCAGAGCAGTCTGAGAAGCAAGATAAAAACTTCAGTTTTTAAGGATTCATCACTAGGTGGACTACACATCTACTGTTCCTCTTATACGTACAACAGTAAAATAAGATTTTATAAGAAAACAATAAACAATCCACCTGTAAGTGAAGTGCACAGTTCTTTGATTTATTTGCTTCCTTCTGAAGGTCTTCTCTACTGTATTATCTAACTTGTAATGTGCAGTTCTATTTCTAAAACAACAAACAGTCTGAACCTGCAATGCTGACTTCAGTGCCATCCAAAATTTCTCCATCACTAACATGGTTGTATGTATCTATGAACTCTGCTAGTGAGACTGAGACATGAAACTTGTGTGGATATGGATGTTCATCTGTCTGCTTCAGCTGTGCAACAGCTTGACTGCGCAATCTGAAATACTCCTGCAAAGGAAGAAGAAGAAAAAAAAAGAACATCACAACCACGATATTCTTCATTAGGTCTACTGTGGAACATTCTGTGGTTTTAAGTTTAACTTTATTATTAAAAAAATTGCACTACAAACATTTCTTTTGTACATATTATATGTTATGTTTAACAAAGTTAGCATTATCAAGTACTGTTCCAATTTATTCTGCAAGATAGGAGAATAAACAACTGCTGTTTCTGGGCAACAGCTTGGTAAACAAATTTCTGTGGGAAAGAATATGCATGAAGCAGTACAAGAACGGTGTTTTCTACGTGGTTTGTGCCAAGAAGTTATAACAAGGACAGCTGGAGCAATGAGGCAGCTGAGAAGATATGGCGCTATAGTTCAGTTGTGGGATATTTGCTGGACAGTAACTGTGTGAACACAGAAGCTGAAGAATCTCCAGGGTTGAGAGCTGTTACCAAGGAATGACTAGTGGAGATACTGCAGGCTGAAGACTTAGTGTGTAGTGATTTGTAAAGTGCGGAAATCAGCAATAGCGTTGTGTTTGTAGTTGCAAGCAGTGTGCACAGGTGGTCGATAAAGCCATTCATCATTCCCAACCCCATCTATAGTCACACTTATATATATATATATGACATTATATTCTGTTGTCTGCCTTCACAATTATGTTTTGACGCAATCACTAGGTCAGCAGGAACTATGGGAAGCACTAGTCTTAACGGAAATTAATGGACAGATCCCTCAATAACACAAATAGCTATAGCATGGATGTCTAAGGTTTGTTTCACCACCATGTCCATAATGGCTCTGGAACCCACCAAGGTGTCCAAAAAGACTGAGTGCACAAAGTGGCTGGAGTGTACAGCTGACCATCTCAATCTATTAACAAAACTAAGAATGTGTAATGTTTTACTTTCATGCCACAATTTGTCTCCATTGCACAGTTCTTAGGCAAAAGATCAACTTTCCCTTCCTCTTAACTCATTAATAAGCATATTTCATTCATAAAAACTCTAACGAAATATTTTTGGGTCTCAAAATTCTTGCATACACCACAATGACCAAGCCACTATGCTATTTACAATAATGTGTTGTAGCTTAACTCACATTGGGGCTGATATCATCTTCTTTAACAAGAGAGTTGGTTTCTTTCTTCTTGGTGCTCTGAGTCTCTTGTGATACCTTCTCCTTTTCTGCTTTCTCCTTAGCTTTCTGCTCCTGTTTCATGCGCCGTTTCAGCTCACTGGAATATGAACAAAACCAATGAATGCAGCTAATTAACTTCACATAAATTACATATTTATGATGTTTAAGTCTCAACACACCTACGATGCAGCCATGAACTGGATCCACAGATGTGACGACTTATAGCATAGCCACCTTGGAAAGTTGGACCCAATTCCCAGAAAGTTTTCCCAATTTCCCTCACGCATTTCTGGCCAAACATCAACATGCTGTCTCCACTTCAAACTTTTCTATCTGTAATGACATTTGCAAATCTGTAATAGGAAGATCTACCTACATACATTATACCCTACAACATCAGTGCCTCACACATTAATATATTCAGAAGTTCAGCTTCTTGAAAGAAGAATAGGGCCTTACAACCTGCATCACAACGAACACTTTGTGTATGTACACATGTGGATTCCTATAATCTCTTAACACAGAATTTGACTGCATACATACCAGCTGCCTAAGCCTACTAACTACATGACAGTGCTCTCCATATCAGAACTAAGATTTTCTTTCCATATTTCATATGTATAAAAAATGCCTGCTTTCAAACAAAGTTATCGATGCTGAATACACTACATTACCTAGAAATGTATGAATATAACATTTTACATCAGCACTTACTGTTCCCTGATACCATTAAACTTACAATGTATGTGCATATAATGACATCCTCATTTTAAGGGTGGGCAATGGATTTGAACAATAAACTGAGGACAACTGTAAAAGGGGATGATTTAACACTGAGATTATTGTCTTGCTATCAATGAAACTGAACAATGAAATAAGGGGCATAGCTTAAATCGAGAAACATTAAATGGAGTTTCCGCTGTACTTTATCTTTAGGTCATTTTCATATTTGTACACGTGAAAAATGAATTTCACATGTTTGGTTAAACACCAAGTGTGCAGTCAACATAGTAACCAACTTTCACATTTAATGGAAACCTCAAATATACTACAGGTGTCTGTCTACAGGGAGATCATGTGACAGCCTGCTACAAATCATTTAGCAAGTCCAGCGCAAGGGACACGCACCTTTCGTGGTAAATATGCACTGGGATCTGTGGAGCAACTGAAAGAATAACAACCCATTTCATTACAATTTCTCTTCAATATGAACCCAAAAAGTTGTTGAGCAACTACCATAATGTGGGTTTATGTGCCTGACGACCGCAATCCTGAGCCCCTCCTACAGTATCAAACATTCCATGAGTTATACAAATTCTAGTCTCAAAATGCCTTGTGACAGTTACATGCTGAAATGATTGTTCATGTATGATACTCAAGTGAAAAACAGGGAGAAGACTCTGGTATACATCTCTCTATGATTTTCAAGCTTCTGAAAAGGTACTTCAAAACACATGAATGCAAACAATTTACAAAGATGCCACAAATGCATCCTAACAGCTTGTAGCATTTCCAGCATCTGCTGTGATCTGGTTGGAGTGTGTTATGCTCCGGCCTATGGCCTTTCAATTGTGCTGTGGGTCTGAATGCGCACAGTGAAGGTTGAGACGAGGAGAACATGTTCCTCCTGCTGGACTGATGAAATGATTTCAGCAGACTCTCAGATGAACTCTCTGCATATTCTTCCATGTGATTTTGCTATGCAAGCCAAAGTTTTACTGTTCTATGTCAGAATATGTATTTTCCCCACCTCTGCGGTTGTAACTGGAATCACTGAAACTACTGTGACAGTTATGTTTTCGACAGAATATTTAAAAACAATTAGATCAAAACAAATATAACAAGTGTTTCACTGGAATCATAAATTAACACAGACTTAGAATTTCAATATATTCTTTTTAAAAAGGAGGTCTGAGTCTAAGTTAAGTATAATGATTTCATTCTGTTGCCACATACTTAAAACCTAACAAACTGAAGATTTAAACGATAACTGATGAAAGTGGTCCAGTACTCTTGCAATCCTGCCAGAATCTTTAAAGGGTCCCATTCTTGAATGAAATATAGATGAATACCTAACATGTGAAAATTCTAAGATAGTAAGTTTCCTGACAGTACAGTATTGTTACATCCTCATTGGAAATCTGGTGGTAGATGGCATCATGTGAGTGGATGGTAAAAGAGATATTGCCACTGCAATGCAAGTGTAATTATTCTATTTTGTTTCAATACAAGAATATCTAATGGGTCTTTTTTGCTTCAAAATAAAAAAAAATTAATGGCTCTCCTTTTTGCTTGAATATATAATACTTTTCACAATGTGATCCCTCCAAAATGTACACTGGTAATAAAATTAGAGTAACAGTCATGTACAAGAACCTGGAGTTATCAGGGTTTCATTTTAACGCATTATTGAAACCAAACACATGAAAAATGTTACATGTCATGTGTGATGCTTCTGATTGTGTAATGAACTTTCATTTTGAAGGAGACCAACTACTTTTAAATGTGTTGCAACTCTTTATCTGTATAGTTTATTTTTTAATATAGGCCTTGCAAGTTCTTATTCCACTAGTAACTGTCTGAACTTCAACTCTAAGCAACATTTCTTGTGAAAATAACAATGGGCAGTACTTCTTGTATCGAGGCCTTACATTATATTCATGACTTAAAGTAGCGTAGAACCAGTCCTGTTTTTTTCTTGTGGGTTATTATGATGCTGTTAATATCTAGAATATAGTGTAAAATGGCAGCATGACTGATGATTTGGTAGGGATCTGGAATTGTTCACAGCCTAACCAAGGTAATATCCTTGAATTTGCTTGCATACACAGAGAAGAACCATGAAAAACTACCATCAGGATTGCTGGTGTCCTGACCAAGATCCGAATCAAGAACTTCAAACACCATTCTGATGTATCAGTGCTATGCCAGCCGTCTTGATTTAGTACTTTAATTGGTACCTTCAACAAAGTAACACTTTCAGTGTAAAGAAGCACTAGGGTTCTTTATTTACTTCATGCATTGAACCTGTTACCTGTCAGTTGTTCACCTACCGCCAAAAACCCATACAAGACACTCTGAAGGACTAGGTACATATTGAACAGGTTCAAGGTCATATTTCTCACGAAACTGAGCATTATGCACCTCTTGCATAGTTTAAGTTTTGTGCATTCACTCTGAGTAACTTTCTTTATGTTTGTATTGTTATGTCAAAAATGAAAGACTTGTAAACTAGGGAACACTATGTTACTTGATAGTGTTCTAGAAGAGGTTTAAATGTTGCTGCTCCGCTTTTCAAGGAAATGACCAAAGCTATAACAAGGAATGTTAAAAAAACAAAATATTTTCAAATGGTGTGAGTGCTGAAGAAGGGCTGGCAATATGTGGCACATTATGTGACTGGTGCAGCCAAGAAACTCAATCTCAACAAATCAGATTACTCATGCAGAACAAATAATTAATAAAGACCTTCAAATATGAGTCCAAGACCTGGAATCTTTAGTGTTCAATTTTTTTGGCAGACTCCAAGCAATCCTTGTAAAAAATCTGAATGTATGAAGAATTTGGACTGGGTAGGTCACTCACAAACTGATGCTTGAACACAAACTGAGAGTCATGGTGTATAAAAATATGCTGAAGAGCTTTGAACAAAATTGTAAGCAGATAGACTCTACAGTGCACAATCCTAAGGGCAGGCAACACTCCTTGCAGTAGAAGTATTATTATTATTAATATTATTATTATTATTTGCCACAGCCACAATGGTTTCTTTCATTCATGTCTGCTGCAAAAACAAATGGAAATGATTTTCTTTTTCCTTGTACATGAATCCCACAAGACACTGCAATTACTGGAGAAGTAAATATTAAAATATACTTATACAACCTCTGCCAGCCTTCTATGAGAAAAAACTGTGGTGTGCAAAAAGAAACAGCCATAATCATGCCATGCCACATACTTTTCAAATGATTCAAAATACTGCAGCAAAAACAGTATTAAGTCTTCCCAGACACCATACTCTTTTACATTTGCTACTGAAGGTGAAAAAGGAGCTGTGGGGTTGTTAGTTTTCTTCAGATTATGCACTCCACACTGTCTCAACAATGATACTTCATAATATATCACTTGGAGGCTTTCAACTGTCTTAAATAGTTATGTATCATAGTAAAATACTTCAAGGGATACAAACTGTCATTAAATAGCAGCATATACAAATAGCAATGGCAGGTAGAGTGCATGAACTAAACTGAACAGTCCATTCAATGAATATCCTTGAAGTTTTTGTTTTAATCTAGAGCAAAACTGAAAATCGGTGGATATGAAGCACTTCCCTGCCCGGACCTTGTGGATTACAATTGAACCACACAAATATTTATTATAAGTTACCTTAAATTAAAATGAAGTATTATTCTTCCGATTTAATCATAGGACTTTCTGAATATATTAATAATTCATGTACTGTATCACTCTTCTGGAATATGTTCATGTAACAAGGTATTATGAAAAGTATATCTGTAATGTATTCTGGCAAATGCCCCCTGAAACTTTATATAATGAGCAATCCTTCGCCCAACAAAAGAATTTCAAAAAATGGTATATACAGATTTCTCGGTGCATGGCAGTTTTTCGTTCATCAGCACTATTTTAGGTCTTACTTAGACCCATACATGCCTACAACTGATACTGCATGTTCTTGAAATTGTATGTTTTACACCTGCAAGTCTTTTTCAATATCATGTTTTGTTATATAAATTTTCGTTTTTATATCGGCTGCTGGCATTTTACCTGCCACGTGCCCTGGCCAACTATGCAAAGGAAACATGAAGCTGGATAATCTGTCTAAATTAAACACATACTCTTAAGAACCTAAACATACACGTCTGTGTACATGTCAACATTTCATACAGAGTAATATATAAGACGGACATTTCACAGTTACTCACTTTTTTGACAATTTCTCTCCCACTAACTCAGCCATGCTACCAACACTTACAAGACCCACAACGATCCGACCTCTTCATCCCTTTCATCGCCAACCACGAGGTATGTTTTTTTTATTGCTATTTTATCATTGAATAGAGATTAGCTACGCATGGAAGGCGGCATATAGAATCACAGGATAGAATTGCTAGAATTTCTACTGCAGTTATTCGTTACCGCTTCCTATCAGATGGAAGCACAATCTGCATGATACCATTCAATTTCAGATGACGCCACTAGTACATGCCAGTGGCTGTCTCTGGGACATCATGGTGTGCGTGTAAATCAGTGGTGGCGGGAGTACGCAGTGCCGAACCCTAGAAGATCAGGTGAAGTTGTCCTTCTGCTTAACTAGTTCACGTCATGAAGACTTATGGGGGAGTGGATGCATAGATCCACATTTTCTTGACCTCAGCACTAGCTGGAGGTGAGTGGTCAGGTTCACGCCCCGGCAGCTTTGCCCCCATTTCCCATTGGATAGGAGGTTGGGTGGAACCCAGAGCCGGTCTGGACAACGTGGAGAAAAGAAAATTCTTGACACTACCGGGACTCAAACTCCGACCCCTCGGTCGTCCAGCCCACCCTTGAAGACAACAGTATAAATTTTACCACTACGGAAACATCAAATCTCTCATAACATAGTACCTCCTAATGCAAGAGGCAGAAATATCATACGATTGTAGATGCCTTAAACTAGATACGTGTTAAAGTATATTTTATCTGACAGAAAATAAGATCATGGCAACTTCTGACGTGATGCTAATCGATGACCCTAGAGATCTGGTACGGTGAGCGATTAAAAATTATGCGTGTTGGAAGGTACAAACATGACAATGGCGAAAACACTGTATTGCTCTCTTCAAAACAAACGGGAACCAACCGGTACTCATGTAGTTTAAACATTCTATTAAAATTCTGTTATAATAACACCTTGGTGTTGTAATACACGTTTGAGAGAAGCACTTGTTGGACATGTTCTACAGTTATGTTATATTTTATTTTTATTAATTCCGAAGATTTCATCGTAATTACTTCTGCCCCAACTTCATTTACTTGTTTTCATCATAACATTTGTTACTGGTCTGTAGTTTACTTTATGACGCTGATGGTATATACATGACCGCCTCTGTGGTCTGGTGGGCAGAGTTTCCGGCTACAGATCCAGAGGTCCCGGGTTCGATTCCTGGCGCTACCAGGTTTTCTGAGAAGTCGTGGGTCTGGAACGGCGTCCATTCAGCCTCGTGGCATAATTGAGGAACCACTTGAATGGAAAAGTAGTGGCTCCGGTCTAGAAAACCGAAATTAACGGCCGTGGGAATTCGTTGTGCTGACCACTTGACACTCTCTATCCTCTAAAGTTGGCATTAACTTCGCCGACAAGCGGCGGTCGCTCTGTCGGTATAGTTCACTTGTGGACTAAAGCCACGGAGTTTGTATTGTTGTTTTCATTATATAGTGCCGAACGGTGGGGTGACTGGTGAATAATGAGTTGGAATGGACATCGAAGGAATCGGTCGTGGCCTATGGGCTGCTAATATTGAACCTTCTTCACAATTTGTTGTTCCAAGATAATTCAGCCATTGTAATATCCTCCGCTCCCTTCGCATATTCCGTCTATTGCTATCTACAGAGTGGCCAAAAATTTGTTTCACACTTCAACGCACAAAATATCTGCTTAAATAATTTATTGGTATATCTAAGGTTCAATTTTGAAAATGTCCGTAAGTAACCTCTGCTGAAGAATGTTATAGAGGTCATCTACATTTTCTTGGGCACCCTTGTGTAGTTCACTGTTTTATTAAACTAACTGCCCTCCTCGGTATGTAGCCTAGTACGGAGTCGGATATGAAGCACCAAACTTAAAGACCGAGAATAAGATAAGGCGTTGCCTAATTAGGGACGCCGCGCTATCCGTCTGAGGTATTTCACGGCCTAGTAAACTACTTTACTATTTGACCTAATATTTAAAGCTATTTACAATATACTAATTTCTCTTGATGAAGAGAATACTCTAGTCTACTACTGATCTCAAGAGTATAATTTCTGTGGCTTTTGAGTTAAAGTCCATCTTTAATTCCTGAAAGATATTTTGCCAATGCCATTGTTCAAGAGAATTTTCACAGAGATTTTGCAGAACTTCTGATTTCAATACCCTTCTTTTTGTATCAAAAGTTTTTGGAAAATATTAGCTTAGAAATTTATTTTATTACAGTTTTTATTCTTAAAGAGAACCCGTGTCTCAATGCTTATTTTCTATAACTTGACATGTTTTCAGAATCTGTAATTTTTAAAAGTATTATAATAATTTCTAGAGACCATTCTTATTGTATAAAAGAGCATAATCACGGAAAATAATACCGTTAGTGGAATATAGTTTATTTGTATCGCATTTTCCTTCCTCAGTTTCTAGCAGCAGAAATATTACTACTGTAACGTTCTTACAATTATGTTTAATAAAATGTTTGTTCCACTACTGAAAATAACTTGTAATTTTAATATTTTAACATATACATATTAATCTGAATTTAATTTATTTTCCTATACGAGTTTTAAAATAAGAAGATCATTAAAACTAAGGGTCTATGTGAGTTTCTGTTGCATTTTAGCAGGTTTCGTTTAGTTCAACTCTCAAAGCGAGTGTCATTTTCGTTGATGTCTTCAAGTTTCGTCCGATATATATTTACCTTGTAGGTAATTCCTGACATTCACACCAGATTTCGAAGAAATGGAAGCTCGCACGAAACCTCGAGAATTACGGAGGAAATAGACATGAATCAAAGGGTGAGAGTTACGATTCATAATGCTATTTTGAATTAGTAATGTGCCTACTGTCGTCGTATTTTCAACAGTTGTCTTACAAAGGCCTTGTTAGAGTAGAGGCAGAGGGAGAACCATTACTTGTATGTAATTACTCTGCATGGATCTAAACAGTAGCGCCATTGAACGATTACGTTCGAATCCTATCGAGAGGGAGGCGAGTTCATCGATATGATGTTGTTATTGCCATAGCAACCCAGTGCGAATGGCGTTTGAGCGTTTCTTCGTAGTGAAGGATACAAGTCATTGGCCTGCTTAACTCAGCATTATTATATTCAATTAATTTTATTGCAGTTTTGAAGGAAAATGGAATTTAGTTATCAGGACATTAGGAGACTAGCAGAAATGCTGAAACCGACAGAAGAAGATTCAGACAGTGAAGATGATTTGCCTCAAAGTGGAATATCCAAGTTGGGTAATATAATTAAACATATCACTTAATTACTCTTCTTAGTTGTTCTTATCATTCTCGTGCATTAATCAAGCAAGAATAGAAAAGTATTACATTTGAAACAACCGTGTCTTCTACTCTTGGTTTTATTTCTGACATTTAGTTTTGAGGTGAACATTTCAGATGGTCAATGAAATGCTACGTATTAGTAAAATCTGGAGTATAATGTCCGCAGCTAATTACAACAAATTTAATGATAGGAGAAGCGGGTTAATTAAGCCTAAGGTATCAAAGAATTAATTTCAATTCTTTGTAAGGCGTAAGCGGTTAATGATGACAGCATTACTTTAATTAAAGGTCCTGATGTTTTTAGGGCATATAATTAATGAGTTTAATTAAATCGCATGAATTCTTATCTAATTTAAAATACTTTAATTTGTTAGGGCTGCAATACACGTGATTTTTTTCAGCCTGGGATATATTATCAGAAACAAACATTGGGAATTTGCCTCATACAACCGTTTCTAGAATTTTTTTCGGAGTCCAGCTGTCCTATGAAGATAAAGTCATGTATAATGGAAGACTTGAACTTGTGGAGCTAATCTTCTGCGCCACCTGTAGCCCATGTTACTACAGCCGGCTGAGACAGTGGCATAAATTCGATTAACTGTCTAGGGTTGTAGACATAACTCTGTATAAAAAACGCTGTTTGAAGAATTTGAAGTCGATTTTTGTACATTTATTTCAGTAACTAATTTTAATTCTGCAGATTCCAGAAAAAAAAATTGAGAGCACGCATCCGCAAGAAAGCAGTCCCGAGATCGTACAATATACTTGAATGAATGAATGTATAAGGGGTGGGCCTTCTCGGCCCTTGCACCGCGACCTACAGTGATCTGTTGTGCCTTGTATTGAATGATTAGTCAAACGCAGCGTAAACACGAAGAAACTGATACTGGCAACTCGCCGAGGTGGGTCGGTTATAGTCGGTCTTCTTTGGCCTGCTTTCCTCATTTTGAAGAAATGAAAGTAGGCTTATGCGATCTCCATGCTGCCTGTGCATCCCTATCAAATTTTGAGTGGCTGACAGGTCTTTTTGAAAATTGGTGTGTATATCATGAACCCTGAGCCAATCTCAGCGGCGTGATTCATAAATCCCCCCATTAATCTGTGTGTTTGTATGTGTATCCCTGTTGTTGCTAGGCAATGGTTCCGTAATAATCTCCCTATCGTTGCTAGGCAACGGCTCGGTAAAAATGTTACCGCAACAACAAATACACACGCAACAATAGAATCATTGTTAATCCATGAAACTGAAGGGAAGAGACCATTTAGAAGACATACGCCTAGATGGGAGGAAAATATTAAAACGAACATTAAATTACTTGGATGTGAATAGCGAGAATTAGCTAGTTCAATATGGGGCCAAGTGACAAAAAATGAATTTTTTATACTCCACAGAAGGCCAGGAATTCTTGGCAAGCTGAGGGGGAGTAGGAATTTTCTGTTTTCAATAAGGACCCTGTTCCTTGGAGTTAGGCATGACCGATACCAGTATATCTCCTCTGACGTAGGTATGATGCAATGGGAAGTAGCTTATTTCGTAAAATACTCTAACCTCTGCAGCCAGACGGCGAACTTACTCGGAAACATTTCTCCCGTAAGACAGGCCCAGGGAATATCGGACCGCAGAAGAGCAGCGGGGATAGCAGTGGTGCTGCTGCAGTCTCCGGCGACACTGCTGATGATATTAATATCTGGGATGAAAGAGAGGTTCCAGAAGTCGATGTTGGTGATAACAGCACGGATCCCCGTGAGAGACCAGAGTTCGATATCAAGTACAGGCAGGCAGTCACTCCAGAAGATGTGTACCTGCAGGTCTGGTAATGAATCTCACAGTAGTCATATTTATTGTAGCAATTACATGTTGTTTGATTTTTTAGTTCTGTCGGAAGGAGGGGGAGGGTTGAGGGCTGCGTATTGGAAGCTACATAATGTCTGTCTGAAGACGAATACGTATAATGATACTTACATGCTTTAACGAAGCTAATTCAACTTCAGAAACTATACGTAGCTTCCAACAAGATAGGAATATGATCACGAATAAAAAGTGGATAAAAATTTGGGTTTCTCTTAGATGGACTGAAGAAAGCTAATAAACACTTAGTCTGAGTGGCTGATAATTTGACCAATAATCTAACTCGACATCTCCCTTAAGAATTTCTCCCTATCACATGTAACGGTCTAAACTATAGGCGTTCTAATCTCTGCTCTCATTTGAGGATTAAATCAGATCCAAGATCATGTAATTGACACGGCTAGGTCTGGAATATCCCCCCAAAGGTGTCTTCACCTTATCGTCGTGGTGAGGCTTGCGTGACTCTGTGAACTGGATAGCTATGCTGGCGGTAGTTTAACTACCAGTAGAGTCACATATGCCGGTAAGGTCAAAGGGTAGAGTCCAGACTAAGAGAGATACCCTGGTCTTCCAGGTTGGGGGTTGGGCACGAGGCTAACATCCTCATCCTTAAAAAGAATTTTGTTTAGAAACCCAACAATCAGCCTCGGGTCATCATTCGTGGATCCATTCCTATGGCAGTTCCGATATATATATATATATATATATATATNTCTGCCAGGCGAATTCAATGGTTATTAGGAGAATTTCTGACTGTATTACAAGTGATATCTGCATCGCGAATCTTTTATCTCATAAGTAATCAAGTACACGAGAAGGAATACTGGTAGCTCAGCTCGTCAAGAAATTCCGCAAATTTTATGGAACCCGAAGTTTCATTATAGTGTCCACAAGAACCCGCCAGTGTACATTATCCTGAACCATTAGAATCCAGGCCACACTATCGGATTCTATTTCTTTATGATCCATTTTAATATTATCCTGTCATCCTTGCACATATGTCTCCTAAGCGGGTTCAGTTTTTCCTAATAAAATTTTCACGCAATTATTGTCTCTCCTCTTTGATTTTGTCATCCAATAGCCACAGGTTTAAAAAGATCAGTTTGTAATTATTTTTCGTCAGGAAAATAAAGACAAGTATTCAAAGGGCCCATTATCTGAAAGTGGAGTATACTTTGTGATATCTGTTATGAAATCAAGCCTTTGGTATTGTCATATTGACGTCTACAGATTTTGATATATGAGATCACGTTTCTCGTCTGTCAACTGACAACTCCTAAAATTCGGGGGGGGGACAATGAAGTGTCTAGAAAAAGGGATTTATAGATGTTATCCCCACCATTATAACCACCCAGGTTGCCAATTTTTCTACTAACCAAGTTCACTTCATATTCTGAGATGTGCACAACACAATTATTCTGTGAAATTTAGCAAGAAACTATTGTATTGTATTGTATTGTATTGTACTGTACTGTATTGTATCGTATTATATTCTATTCTATTATTTGATTTGTTAACCTCTAATATGAACCCCTCAAATACTCGTATGTTCTAAAGTAGCTCTTATCCTAAAGAGACGCAGAACGAAGCCACTTCTTCTTCGAGAAACCTCGAATGTGAACTCGAAGACTATATAATATGATTTAGATTTCTTGATGAATTCCCTAGTACTTCCAGTCAGATGTAAATATAATAATAAACAGGTCATGATCGATTCCTTCTAAGTATCCTGTCATAGATTATACACGGTATATAAGAGAAACTAATGCAACACAGAAAGTGCGTCTTAATAAAAAAGAAGAAGAGGTGGGTGTATATTTCTCCTATCGAGACAATACTGTATATTGCGTAAATTCATTTCCTGATATTTTTCACTCCTCACTGGCCTTGATGTAGATACAAATCCATATTGTTCCAGAGTTAGTCATACTACCGATATCACTCTGCACAGTATCAAGAAAGTTCCGAAAATATTCATCACAGTATTAAGTATAGAAAAAAGCATTGTCAATCTCAGTCAGATGTGTATTTCGTTGTATGTACTAACTTTCGTACGGTGAGTCGTTTATTACAGAATCGATAAAGCTCGATTCGTGTTTCGTGTAAAAATGCAAAGAAGGGATTATATATGTCTTATAATGAAACTAAAAGAAAGGAAATTCGATCATTTAGCGTGCATATCGTATATTAAATTCAGTCAGAATCTTAAAGTGGTTTCGGATATAAAAAATGTGGACAGGTGAACGGACCGGACAGGCAGAACCAACCCAACATGCGATCTCTTTTTACGTCGTGTGCATAGAAAATATATACCCGTAGATGTTGATGTTTTAGATGGGAGGCAAGACCACAGGTTCTGCGAGCTGCGAGGATATGGTGGTGAGTGTGCAGCTGCCAGGGGAATCACGAGGTCAGGTGAACTTGGCGGTTACTCGCGAGCGTCTCGACGTCCGGTCCCCGCGATACTGTCTCAGCCTTGCGATGCCGCATCCTGTGGACCCTGATTCGAGCAGAGCAGAGTGGCTCAACTCTGTTCTTGTCGTCACTCTACGGATGCAGAGAGATTTCGACTTCATCAATTTCTGATTTCGCCAGCCGTTTTCTGGGCTTCATTATTTGAAACTGTATAGAGAGTGTCTTACATCTGAAATTGAAAATAAACAATTGTATCATTCCCTAGCCTGAAATCCATTTACAATCAAGAAATTTGAATTATATATGCTAACAACTTAATTACCTCTATGGACCAGTTTTTCTCGAGAAACCAACGCTGGTTAAGTAAGTACGTAACTAAATTTCATTACCACTTTCGCAAAATCCAGCTAGTGGACTCAATTCTGAATCAGCTGTATCTAATCTGAACTCTTTAAATCCATATTAATATCATCCTCCCATACATCCTCCAGTCTAAGAAGTGATTTCTTCTTTATTAGTTTCCAAAAGAAAATAATTTTCAGATTTCTCATCCCCTTATGCAGGATATATGTTCTGTCCAAATCATCATCCGTGACCTGTTCACTGTATTAACTTATTTGGTGAATATTACGAATGACGACACTCCTCATTATGTAATCTTCTTCATATCACTAGCAATCCTTGTATTTTAGATATAAATACTATCCGCAGTTTCCTGTTCCCTTAGCGAGTAGCCAGTAATATATTCTGTCATTATGAATTCCATTTAGATCGACGTACGCCAATAGCCTACAGACCATGTACCACTCCGAACTTACCTGATTTCGATAAAGTATATTTTGTATCTGCCGATCATAATGGCCGCGCGATCTAAGGCCTGAACTGTCTTCACTCACTCGAATGCTGGGATCGTAGGTTCGAGTCCCACTGAAGACATGGATATATGTGTGTGCATTTATTTTTGTTAGTGTTGTCCTCTGTGTAGGTAACGGCTTTGCGACGGGCTGATCGCTCGTCCAAGGAGTCCTGCCGTCTGTGTAGAAAGGATTACGAAACTGAAAAAGAGGCCAGGGTCCAACAAAGTGTTGTAGTGCCATTGATGTATGAATGGATATTTTTTGTCTATAGTAAAAGCTGCCGAAATTTAATTTTGGTTCACATTGATCCAGTAAGCCTGTCCATAAACCTTACTTTATTGGGGCCTCTTCATTTTTCTACACAATAACATTCCTGTACAGATCTACTCACTTGGCAATAGAAGCGTTGCCGCAACGCAAACAAATGGTTTTTATTAATCAATTTACAATATGTTTCTACCCGCAAGGACCTCCAACAGGCGATCTTGAGGAATACACAACTGCTGACGGATTACATGAACTACAATGCTAGTATGGAATTTGTCGATTAACACTGGGTGTGGATTATTTTGCAATGCCATCGCCATCTTGCCTACATAGCGTCAAATGTTTGGACGACTGGTAAAGGATCTGAAAGAAAGTGACATTGGTCTAATAGAGGCAGTATCCCAGAATTTGCCTGGAATTACTCAAAGTATCTGATGTCCTGGCCGAGAATCTATCCGAGAGCATCCGAAATATAGGTGCGCAGCGTTGAGGCCGTACCATAGCTCAGGCGGTTAGTCGCCTGCTTCGTACCGCAGCGGCTCGGTTTCGAGCCCAGGTACGGTCATGTGGGATTTATTGTAGACAAAGAGGCACTGGAGTAGGTTTTCTCTGAGTACTTAGGTTTCTCCTACAAATTCTCATTCCACCGACTGCTCCACACTCATCATCATCTGTCATCCGGAGCTGGTACAATAGGCCAGAAGTGGCCGCAGTACCAAGTGGACTCAGTATCACCCCACCCCAAGAAACTAAAAAAAAAAAAAAACTAAAGAACTATTCTCTTTGGTGTTGTAAGTGTACATTAGTGGCTCTGGTAAGGCAGCAGCGTTTCCCAGGGCTAGTCCAGNATTGTGCATCTCCGTCTGATTATCCCCTCAACAATCTTGCCCTTCGAATGAAGCGCAGGATCCTGTATGCGGGGACGTCGAAATAGTCACTTGGTTCCATAAAATATTGACTCAAGTGGTGCAATCTTAAACAAGCTGTCTGTCTAAAATATACTTTTACTTTAAGTTACGTCAGAATGCAGCCTTAAGGAAGAAAAGCCTTGTGCTTTCAACGAGATACCCGGTATGGAGATTCTGGTTTGAAGTCGTATATTGAAAGTGCAATATACTACTTTGTAACGTTGGGACCACGATAGGACGATGATCTGCGTTGCTGTCAGCTGATGACGCACACTTGAACAAGATTTAGACGATTTGGACACAGTATAGCTTGTTGGTTTTCCTTTCTCTGAAGGACACACTTGTGAAGGTGAATGTCACTTGTATTCAAGACAGCGGAAACAGCACGTGACTTTCACATCGTGCCTGCTACCTGAGAGAGTTACCAGATACCAAAGTTCAAGGGAATGCATCCAGCTTTGTCATCTATTGAACGTACTCGACCGGTTTCAATGGTCCTGCAGTCACGGAAGAGGAAGTTGTATTTGCGTTATCTACATATCCGTGAGCACCCTGCCCAATTCAGTCAGTAAAATGATTGGCTTTTTTCTGTGCTGCCGGGGCTAGATTCTCGCCAGGAACAGGTACTTTTTTCTTTGCTACAACCTCCTGATGGTCCTGACCGTCTCTAGGGCTCACTCGGGCTTCTGTACATTGTTGATAACCTGGACTCTTTCCTCGTGGGTAAAACAGCCGAGACCGAGAGAGTTAAGGTTGCAAGAAGCTTTACTTCCGCTCTCTAAGAAGTGTTCGTGACAGAGGAACAAACATCAACTTCACCTCTTTTCTTATTGCTAGTGGGGTGGGACTAAGTCCCTTGTACTGCGGTCACTTCTGGCCTATTGTACCAGCCCCAGATGATAGGTGAGGCTGGTTGTGGAGCAGTTGGTGGAATGAAGATTGGCAGGGGAAACCGAAGTATTCGGAGAAAACCTGCTCCAGCCCCACTTTGTCTACCACAAATCCTACTTGATTAGACCCGGGATCGAACCCGGCCCGCCACGGTGGGAAGCCAGCGACTAACCGTTTGAGCTATTGCTCGGCCCTCAACTTCAGCTTGCTTCCTTCATAAAGAATGGGGTTCGGTAACCGGCAGGTTCCTCTTCTCGTTTACTCTGCCATTTTACTTCATAATATGCATAAAGACTGCTGCTTTGAATTCATCACATATAAGTGAAAACTGGTCGAATATTTTGTAACACGCTCGAGGATTATGATGCGTTTTTTTTTTCAGAGGCTGTATAAAATAGAAGCATAAAAGGACTGGTTCTTGGACTTTTCGAAGACGACAATTTTCAACTTAATAAACTATGCTCTATCGCCGAATTATATGATGTAGGATTTGATGTTCTCACAGCAGTGGAGATGTGTTTTCGAACTTCACTGGGTCTTTCATCGTAATACAAAAGAACCAGAAGATCTGTACCATATGTTCGAAACGTCTGTAACTAATACTACACCTTTGTTTCTAATTTAGGATATCGATGAATTATGTCTTCAGAACTAGAGGAAAGTAAATGAGATTATGGTATTGATTGGGCATGATGTTTGGTCCTACAGACAAGTAGCAGCTTAATTTAACAATAACCATCCAGGAAAGTTTCTAGTTACAAGCTTAAACAGCGTCTGTAGCAGACAGTCCATTTTTGTGTCGTCCTATCACCTTAAGAGAAGCAGGGATAGCGTAGTCGGTATAGCGACTGGCTACGGGCTGAACGACTGAGTGGTCGGAGTTCTAGTCCCGATAAGGTCAAGAATTTTCTCTTCTCCACGTCGTCCAGACCGGCTCTGGGGCCTACCCAATATCGTATCCAATGGTTACTGTGGGTTCTTTCCCCGGGGGTGAAGCGACCGGGGCGTGAAGCTGATCACTCACCTCCAGCTAGTACCGAGGTGAAGAAAATGTGGACCTACACATCCACTCCCCCATACGCCTTCATGGCTTAGTGGTTAATTAGTTAAGCACAGGACAACTTTACCTTACCTTTACCTATTACCGTGGGCACGCGGTAGTGTAGCTGGTCGAGGCTCTATGCTACAAGCCGGAAGGTCGCGGGATCGAATCCCGATGAGGTTATTGGATTTTTTCAATTGACCTAATCCTTCCAGCCGCACTATGGCCCTGTGGTCGACTCAGCCTCTAACAGAAATGACTACCAGGAATAAATTAAATAATTTTCTTGGGTAGTAAAGCGCGGCCGGCGCTTAAGGCTGGCAACCTTGCCGCCATATATGAGCCGCTTGTCTAGAAAATGTCAGAGCCTCAACATCTCACAAGCCTATGGGCCTCCAAGGCCTGTTACAGGGATACTTTTACTTTACTTTACTTACCTATTACCTCATGGGAAGACCCTCGAATTTCCTTACAGATAGTTCTTATAGAATAATTCTAAAATCCTATCAGCGAAATTATGCTAAGAATTCAGAGGATCGTGATATTCCGTCAATAAACACGCAATAAGACAGGGCATAAATATAATGAAGGAAAAGCTTCAATAAAATTAAAATGAAATAAAGTTAGGCATTTTGACTTTGTTTCTAGATGCTTCACACATGTCGTAAATAAATTTACAGCGAGATTAATTCGTGTCTCAATAAAATGTCTTGCTAAAAAAAACTGTTCTGTTAATTGTCACCACGAAAGGAAAGAATTGGCTATCACATAAATAAAGTTTTCTTTGACACATTAAATAGCTTGGTATTCTCGGTCCATAAATATCAATTGATGTAACACTGGATAAGTGAATACTCACAGGGAAGACTGGGACGCTAGACTTCACCCATAAATTTCTTTATTTTCTTCTGTCACCACAATAAGAAACACTGATACATCAAATATTCGTCGTTTTTACAACATGGTTTAGCTCACTGAGTCATCTTCAGGTATTTGACTTGTTTACACACAGCTGCATTTGTCTGTTAGTATTCCTGCATTGGTCAGATGTGGTAAAAGATAACGGATATATGGTGTATCCATATTTCTTAGTGTGTGGCGGAACAAAATAAAGAAATTTCACACACACAATATAATTAGTAGATTATAAATGGTTCTGACGATGGTGGATAACACACAGAATTATTGTTTTTTTTTTTTTTTACTTTTCCCATCGTCACAATATGATGCTAAAATATAATATTAAAAATATAAATGTTTTTATATTACATAACAGACCTATCACAAAGAATCATTTTATTTCTAAA